AAGATGGTGATGTGAATGAATGGATACTGCCAAGTACAAACATGTGAGATGTCATACACTGCAGTGGCTTGCGAAAGTATTCACCCCCCTTGGCATTTTTCCTATTTTGTTGCCTTACAACCTGGGAATTAAAATAGATTTTTTGGTGGGTGTGTATCATTTGATTTACACAACATGCCTACCACTTTGATGCAAAATATTTTTTAGCGTGAAACAAACAAGAAATAAGACAAAAAAACTGAACTTGAGCGCGCATAACTATTCATCCCCCCCAAAGTCAATACTTTGTAGAGCCACCTTTTGCAGCAATTACAGCTGCAAGTCTCTTGGGGTATGTCTCTATAAGCTTGGCACATCTAGCCACTGGGATTTTTGCCCAATCTTCAAGGCAGAACTGCTCCAGCTCCTTCAAGTTGGATGGGTTCCGCAGGTGTACAGCAATCTTTAAGTCATACCACAAATTCTCAATTGGATTGAGGTCTGGGCTTTGACTAGGCCATTCCAAGACATTTACATTTTCCTTGATGGCCAAAAAGCTCAAATTTTAGTCTGATCTGACCAGAGTACCTTCTTCCATATGTTTGGGGAGTCTCCCACATGCCTTTTGGCGAACACCAAACGTGTTTGCTTATTTCTTTCTTTAAGCAATGGCTTTTTTTCTGGCCACTCTTCCGTAAAGCCCTGCTTAAAGTGGTCCTATGGACAGATACTCCAATCTCCACTGTGGAGCTTTGCAGCTCCTTCAGGGTTATCTTTGGTCTCTTTGTTGCCTCTCTGATTAATGCCCTCCTTGCCTGGTCCGTGAGTTTTGGTGGGCGGCCCTCTCTTGGCAGGTTTGTTGTGGTGCCAATATCGTTCCAATTTTTAATAATGGATTTAATGGTGCTCCGTGGGATGTTAAAAGTTTCTGATATTTTTTTTATAACCCAACCCTGATCTGTATTTCTCCCCAACTTTGTCCCTGACCTGTTTGGAGAGCTCCTTGGTCTTCATGGTGCCGCTTGCTTGGTGGTGCCCCTTACTTAGTGGTGTTGCGCAGACTCTGGGGTCTTTCAGAACAAGTGTATATATACTGAGATCATGTGACACTTAGATTGCACACAGGTGGAGTTTATTTAACTAATTATGTGACTTCTGAAGGTAATTGGTTGCACCAGATCTTATTTAGGGGCTTCATAGCAAAGGGGGTGAATACATATGCATGCACCACTTTTCTGTTATTTATTTTTTTGAATTTTTTGAAACAAGTATTTTTTTTTATTTCACTTCACCAATTTGGACTATTTTGTCCATTATATGAAATTCAAATAAACATCTATTTAAATTACAGGTTGTAATGCAACAAAATATGAAAAAAATCAAGGGGGAAGAATACTTTTGCAAGGCACTGTACATTACCAAAAGTATGTGGACACCTGCTTGTCGAACATCTCATTCCAAAATCATGGGCAGTATTATGGAGGTGGTCCCCCTTTGCTGCTATAACAGCCTCCACTCTTCTGGGAAGGCATTCCGCTAGATGTTGGAACATTGCAAGGGGTCTTGCTTCCATTCAGGCACAAGAGCATTAGTGAGATCAGGCACTGATGTTGGTGATTAGGCCTGGCTCGCAGTCAGCGTTCCAATTCATTCCAAAGGTGTTCGATGGGGTTGAGGTCCGGTATCTACAGTATGCAGGCCAGTCAAGTTCTTCCACACCGATCTCGACAAATCATATCTGTATGTGTATGGACCTCGCTTTGTGCATGGGGGCATTTGTCATGCTGAAACAGGAAAGGGCCTTCCCCAAACTGTTGCCACAAAGTTGGAAGCACAGAATCGTCTAGAATGTCATTGTATGCTGTAGCGTTAAGATTTCCCTTCACTGGAACTAAGGGGCCTAGCCCGAACCTTGCATCCTCCAAACTCAGATCCGTCCGTCGGACTGCCAGATGGTGAAGCGTGATTCATCACTCCAGAGATCACGTTTCCACTGCTCCAGAGTCCAATGGCGGCGAGCTTTACGACACTCCTGCCGAAGCTTGGCATCGCACAAGTTGTTCTTAGGCTTGTGTGCGGCTGCTCGGCCATGGAAACCCATTTCATGAATCTCCCGACGAACAGTTATTGTGCTGACGTTGCTTCCAGAGGCAGTTTGGAACTCGATAGTGAGTCTTACAACAGAGGACAGACGGGTTTTACACATTGCGCGCTTCAGCACTCGGTGGTCCCGTTCTGTGATCTTGTGTGGCCTACCACTTCGCGGCTGAGCCACTGTTGCTCCTAGACGTTCCTCTTCACAATAATAGCACTTACAGTTGACTGGGGCAGCTCCAGCAGGGCAGAAATGTGTCACGTTGAAAGTCACTGAGCTCTTCAGTAGCCATTTTACTGCCAATGTTTGTCCATGGAGATTGTATGGCTGTGTGCTCAATTTTATACACCTGTCAGTAACGGGTGTGGCTGAAATAGCCAAATCCACTAATTTGAAGGGGTGTCCACATACTTTTGTATATGTAGTGTATCTTAAACAACATTCACTGTGTAGTTGTCATGGTAATATACACAGAGGGTACAAAACCTACCTAATATTGAATTGCACCCCTTTTTGCCCTCAGAACAGCCTCAATTCGTCGGAGTATGGACTTTACAATGTCATGGAAAGAGCAGGTGTTCCTAATGTTTTGTACACTCATCATTAAGGAAGTGAAAAAAACATAGCCTTAATCAGTTTTCATTTCTGAGAGAAAAAAAGCGAATATATCTTCCCCCGTAAGCAAGATCCCTGTCAAAAAACAGCACAACACGTCACAGCCTCTTCACCTTCCTCTTCCCTCTAACGTCATTCAGACAGGTTGGCGGGTAGAGGGATCCACCTGTGACTCATCCTGAGTACTTTATCTACACTCCTTATTAAACTCTCTCAATGCTCCTCGTCACTGAGACCTAATATAACACATGCCAGTTATACTGAACAAAAATATAAACGCAAGATGTAGCAATTTCAAAGATTTTACTGAGTTACAGTTCATAGAAGGAAATCAGTCAATTGAAATGAATTCATTAGATCCTAATCTATGGATTTCACATGACTGGGCAGGGGCGCAGCCATGGGTGGGCCTGGGACGGCATAGGCCCACCCACTTGGGAACCAGGTCCACCCACTGCGGAGCCAGGCCCAGCCAATCAGAATGTTTTTCCCCACAAAAGGGCTTTATTACAGACAGAAATACTCCTCAGCATCCCCTTTCCTCCTCCTCAGATGATCCCGCAGTTGAAGAAGCCGGATGTGGAGGTCCTGGGTTGGCGTGGTTACACGTGGTCTGCGGTTGTGAGGCCAGTTGGATGTTCTGCCAAATTCAAAAAAAATGACGTTGGAGGCAGCTTACGGTAGAGAAATGAACATTGAATTCTCTGGCAACAGCTCTGTTGGACATTCCTGCAGTCAGCATGCAAATTGAACGCTCCCTCAAAACTTGAGACATTTGTGGCATTGTGTTGTGTGACAAAACTGCACATTTTAGAGTGGCCTTTTATTGCCACAGCACAAGGTGCACCTGTGTAAGGATCATGCTGTTTAATCAGCTTCTTGATATGCCACACCTGTCAGGTGGATAGATTATCTTGGCAAAGGAGAAATGCTCACTAACAGGGATGTAAACAAATTTGTGCACAAAATTTGAGATAAATAAGCTTTTTGTGTGTATGGAAAATGTCTGGGATATTTTATTTCAGCTTTGAAGTTGCACCAACGCTTTACATGTTGCGTTTATATTTTTGTTCAGTATAGAAGCACTTCTTCAAAGTTGTCTCATTTCAGTCTCACTTCAAAGCTCCGACAACATGTCCCTCTCTATGTTTAGAATGCTCATTACTTTGGCTGAGACTGCTCTGAGACTTCAGAGGTCTCAAAACCCACTTTGTTTGAGTCTCAATTTTGACTTTTCTCTCTGTTTTGTCAGTGTCTTCTGAGAGAAAGTCATTAGAGGTTTGGTTCTGTATTGTGTTTTGACAGCCCTGTGTTTTCAAAGGGGTTGAGGGGGAGATGTTTCTACGCTAATCCTCTTGTTACGGGATTGAGTTGTTGTTCAAATAGGGGGGGGCTTATAGTTGTCCTGTTTCACACATACATGCACAAGTGTGTAACCTGTACAAGTGTGTGGTGTGAAATGCTATCGTTATGTATTAATTAATCTCTCTTGTGTGGCTTTATTCAGGTTTTTACATCAGTGCAACTAGGACTTTGGAAATATCAAAATGTGAAACTATAACCTTACATAAATGTTGGCTTGTCTGAGACAGAACATAGAGCTGAAATAATTGACTCATTGTCAGTTCAGCTGCCATGAGCTGTACAGGGTCCTGAACTCTGGCACCATACTTGTCATGATGAGTTGTGTGATTACAATAGGAATCACAGAGCAGCACATAAGGATATATATGAAAAATAAACGTATTGATGAGGAAATCTAGTCTAAAACCATTATCTTAAACTATCGGCCACATTAATTTGAATCGTGACATTGGGAGAAACTAATGATGCACTGTAAGAAAATGGGATTCAGTCCAGTGGAATGTCTTTGATCACTCTCTCTGTCTGTGTGCGTATATATGTATTTATTGTGCAGTCAAACAAGTGTATGTGTGCATGAGCAAAGCTCCCCTCATTAAATGCCTCCCTGATGAAACTCCCCATGATTAGTTATAAATGAAGAAGCTAGGCTCGGCTCTGCTCCCAGCTCTACTTGCCTAATTTCCTCAGGAACATATTTAGGAGGTCTCATACGAGCTAGCCCAATCGACATGGGCTTTGATCCAGTCAATGCATCCGTAATCATCTGTAATCATTCTAGTCTTGGTGTTGGATCTGTTAGATTTAGATGCACATATGGTCTAAGTTTCAAATACATGTGCTGAAAAGGTGAAAGTGAAACAAGGACAATTCCATTATATCAAAAGGTCAGTATAGAAGTCTGATGTTAGCACTCTTCCTCTCCATTTGCGGGAGTAATGAGCGAGGGATGGAGCAGCGATCGGGGGATGTCATGGCATTTGGCGGAGGAGTGGAGGATGAGAAGGATGGGGATGGAGGTGGGTGTTGAATGGACCTAAAAGGTTAGTCTGCTCAAGTCAAGTGGAAGAAAGAGTTAGCCTTTGAAGTGAGAGCATGAGCAAACTTTCCCCCTATCCCAGCTATCCGCCCACACACTCCCCTCACGCCTAGAGATAGTGTTTTTGAAAGCCGCCCACCAGAGCTCCTGCAGCACCAGGGCTGATGGGGTCTCCAGAGCTGCCAAACTGCTGCTTAATTAAGCCGGCTGATCCACACTATCATTTATCATGTGAAAGCCAGGAGAGGGGGAAAAGGAGTATGGAAGAGGAGGAGAGGGAGGGGTAGGGAAACACGAGGGATGAGGGGGATGGAGGGAATAGTTCGCGTCACAGGGTCTCTCTCCCCAGAGTTGAGTGGGAGAGAGACTATGCAGCTGTACAGTACTTTACTTGAACTCCTCTCTCTCTCTCTTAGTTATGCACTAGACTAGGGTCTTACCAACACCACAGCGCATGTCTCTCTCCAGCAGGACAACTCTGCCTCTGCACAACATTCTCTCAACAGAACAAGTCTCTCAGAACTATAAAAGCTCTCTATACAATGGCATACATTTTTGGCAGGAGAAGAAGCTGAAGGAGCTTTAACTGAATATCGTTCCAAAGGTATAATTGTGGTCCAGGGATTTTTCTTTTTGTAGTACTCTCTCTGCAACATTGAAGCGGTGGGTAGAAATTCTGCTCCAGGACTTTGTGGACACCTGGTGGGGTAGATCTGTGTGTCTGTGATCGGTGTGTCTTTCACACATACACAAAAGCATACTGGAGATGAGATCCAGCTGTACTGAGCGCAAGCCTGTGTCTTCTCAACCATGCAATGTAAGTGAGGGTGTTTAAAGGTAGACAGTGTGTGTGTGTGTGTGTATTTAATATGCCTGAGAGTGATAGATGTGTTTTGAGTTAAAGAGAGTAAGGTTGCAGCAAGAGGAGCAAATGCTGTGCTTTGCACATTTTGTAGCACCCTCGAGAACTGTTCTAATGTTTTATGGAATGGAGAGTAATGCTCAGTGTGTTTCTTTTAAATATTAGCTTATTGTTTTAAGTGTCGTCGTTAAACTGGATTATGGCATGATCCATTATCCTGACATACTGTACATTGGTTTGTCTGTCTCTGTTCAATTGACCAATGGAGTGTCTACTGTGCTTCCATTTGACCACAAAGTTCTGTTCTTTTTTTTGTTGCACTGATAAAATCATTGCTATGGACAGAAGTTGATATGTATTCTGTCTTCTCCTCTAACAAGATGACCTAGAATATGGTCCATTCTAACGAGTAACTGCCTCTGTGGTTTGACCAACTGTCAGACCCTATAACAGTGAAGGCAGAAACCCTAAAGACTTTGTGCCAACCCCAATCATTGTATAAACCTCCAATTCCATGAAAACGAGTCACCAATCTAGTGATTTGGTAGTCAAGTGGTTTTGGTGGGGAACAATGTATTCCCATTTAGCTGAATGCTTTGGCTGTTTCTGTTGTACAATTACAGAGTAGAATGAAAGTAGACATGTAGGCTACATTGTTTATCTTTTCTCCAAGCGTATGTTCCTTGCTAGCAACATTTGATGTCTACAGTGTTGATGAGAGTAGACCTGCTTGCATAACTCAAGGGATAGAGGTAGAACTGAGCTGACCTCTTAAGCAATTTCCTGTCATTTTTAAAGCCTTTTAATTAGTTTGTGTGTTGGAATCACAACAGACCTCCCTCCTCCTTTCTCTAGCTATTTTTATCCCTCTGCTTCTGGAGCCTGCTAGCTCCTGGGACTGTGTGTGTGTGTGTGTGTGTGTGTGTGTGTGTTAGTACACATGCATATGTGCAGAAAGATATGTGGAGCGTGGCTTGTGGCATGCATGGAATGAAATATTCAGGTGACAGAAAGGCAGATTCCTCCACATTCAGTGACATTTTTGGTGACATTTTCTTTAGGTGGCAGTCTGTCACATGTCAGATGCATACGCGTACTGTACATTGTTAGAGAAACAAATAAAAGAGGGTGTGTGGAAAAGGAGGGAGAAGGGAAGAAGGGAGAGGAGGAGAACACAGCTGTTGTTGCCCACAGGCTCTGGAGCATTCTTGCATTATACAATAGGCTCTTTTTTCTTCCCCGACTTACTGCAGGAGATTTCAAAGGCACTAGGGCTCTTCTTTAACCTGGTGTTCCAGCTGAATGCTGGAACACAAACGGAGGACACAACCTTGTCCACGTTCACTGCACCATATCAACTATATCAAAGCCTTGACAAGGCATTGTGAGTCCGGGCAGCGCTAGAGGCACTAAGCTGTTGGAAGGAATCATGCAGTGCACTCTCAGAGGAATTCTCTGAGGCATACCTTGACCCCCCTGCGTGTTGCTGAACCATCATTACAGGGAAGGAAACGTAAACAAGTGCATTGAACAATGAAATTGGTTGCGTTCCCTACCTGGTATTTACATATTCCTATTCCTATTTATTCCTAGAAGGTCCATACTCTCTAATAAATGAATGTGACTTTATGTAGTGCTTGGATTAGCAATGAAAATAAGCCAATGCAAAAGCAAAGCAAAAATGGTGTCCTCTTCTAATTGTGGATGTGTCCAATGTTGTCACAATAAGGAGGGGTTTGGTATGAGAAAATGGACACTGATCATTTGGGTTCTACAGATTGTCAGGCATAAGACCCTTTAGTGATAGATGTTATGACATCCATGTACAGTATATACAGTAGTTTTTGAATCTTTTGTTTATCCAGGAAGTCCCATTGAGGTCAGGAGTAGGGCTGTTAGGGTGACTATTACCGCCACACCAGAGGTCACAAGTCATGAAGGGAGTCAAATTCCACGTGACCTTTTAGTCACTGTAATTAGGCTTCTCCAAGCTCTGATGCTGCTGATTGTCATTAGCAGCCTATCAAACTTGCTAACTTCCTGGTACTCAGCACTCTATTGTGCCTCTAATCACGCTGACATCAATGCAAACGTAATCGAAAATCTAATCAAACACTCCATGAGAGCCCATGAGCTCATGTTGCGCAACATTTCTATAGGCTATGCAATTGCGTGAGAAAACAGTTTTGATGGCCTCTATTAAAAAGAGGAGGATCCCATCAGCTTTCTATAGGCTAGGCTTACTATATGTATTTATAAACTTTCCTAATATTAAGCACATTGCTTTGCTTTACAACAGGAGTATAGCCTACCTGAAAATAAATCACAGGAAAAGCATCCTCCCTTTGCTATTTAAGAGCAAGTATTATTTTTTTCCCATGACCCTGTTCTGAGACAGGTGTATGATAATGGTCCATTCTAAATCAAAACTAATTTCATACATATATTATTTAGTATATGTAAAGACAACATTAAATCAAGAATAGTCTGATGGGTGACAATATTAGCCTATCACTTGTGAATTATGTATTATCACTTGTAAATGATGCCCAGATTGTGCAGTAAGGCAAGAAACAGCTGACCTTTTTTTTGCTACTTTTTCCATTTCTAGTTGTACACCTCATGTAGCCTAGCCCATAGACCTACATGTTTTGATAAGGTTTGTATCACAACTAAAGTGGCCAAATAACTTCTTAAAATTAAGCACATTAATCTGCTTTATAACTGGTGTGGACCCCAACTGGCATACATAGGCTGCGCGTGAGTTTCAAGTTTGGGGAAGATCATTTTCACCATAAAAATGCAACTTTATAATAAATCATTACATGCATAATCGCATTTGTCCTCACTTTTGAGAACAGTGCAAATGCAATCGAAAATCACATTAAACACTTATCATCAAAACAGCCTATCATACTTTTAAAACTCACCTCACTGTGATGACAATTAGAAGAAAGAAGTTCAACAGCAGGTTGAAGCAGTGTAAATGAAATGGACAGCGCTTTCTAGGGTGATGATTAATTCAAAACATCCATATGCATATTAGAGCTTATGCATAGGCTTCTGAGCCCAAGCCCGAAAAAAAAACAGAATTATGATTTTGCCATTATACAATACATAACCTATACTGTATATTACGCATGGCAGAAAAAACTTTTTTTTTTTAAAACTGATTTAAGATGGACTGGTTACCAAAATGTACACTGCTCAAAAAAATAAAGGGAACACTAAAATAACACATCCTAGATCTGAATGAATGAAATAATCTTATTAAATACTTTTTTCTTTACATAGTTGAATGTGCTGACAACAAAATCCCACAAAAATGATCAATGGAAATCAAATTGATCAACCCATGGAGGTCTGGATTTGGAGTCACACTCAAAATTAAAGTGGAAAACCACACTACAGGCTGATCCAACTTTGATGTAATGTCCTTAAAACAAGTCAAAATGAGGCTCAGTAGTGTGTGTGGCCTCCACGTGCCTGTATGACCTCCCTACAACGCCTGGGCATGCTCCTGATGAGGTGGCGGATGGTCTCCTGAGGGATCTCCTCCCAGACCTGGACTAAAGCATCCGCCAACTCCTGGACAGTCTATGGTGCAACGTGGCGTTGGTGGATGGAGCGAGACATGATGTCCCAGATGTGCTCAATTGGATTCAGGTCTGGGGAACGGGCGGGCCAGTCCATAGCATCAATGCCTTCCTCTTGCAGGAACTGCTGACACACTCCAGCCACATGAGGTCTAGCGTTGTCTTGCATTAGGAGGAACCCAGGGCCAACCGCACCAGCATATGGTCTCACAAGGGGTCTGAGGATCTCATCTCGGTACCTAATGGCAGTCAGGCTACCTCTGGCGAGCACATGGAGGGCTGTGCGGCCCCCCAAAGAAATGCCACCCCACACCATGACTGACCCACCGCCAAACCGTTCAAGCTGGAGGATGTTGCAGGCAGCAGAACGTTCTCCACGGCGTCTCCAGACTCTGTCACATGTGCTCAGTGTGAACCTGCTTTCATCTGTGAAGAGCACAGGGCGCCAGTGGCGAGTTTGCCAATCTTGGTGTTAATAATAATATGCCATTTTAGCAGACGCTTTTATCCAAAGCGACTTACAGTCATGCGTGCATAATTTTTTTTTGTGTATGGGTGGTCCCGGGGATCGAACCCACTACCTTGGCGTTACAAGCGCCGTGCTCTACCAGCTGAGCTACAGAGGACCAAATGCCAAACATCCTGCACGGTGTTGGGCTGTAAGCACAACCCCCACCTGTGGACGTCGGGCCCTCATACCACCCTCATGGTGTCTGTTTCTGACCGTTTGAGCAGACACATGCACATTTGTGGCCTGCTGGAGGTCATTTTGCAGGGCTCTGGCAGTGCTCCTCCTTGCACAAAGGCAGAGGTAGCGGTCCTGCTGCTGGGTTGTTGCCCTCCTACGGCCTCCTCCACGTCTCCTGATGTACTGGCCTGTCTCCTGGTAGCGCCTCCATGCTCTGGACACTACGCTGACAGACACAGCAAACCTTCTTGCCACAGCTCGCATTGATGTGCCATCCTGGATGAGCTGCACTACCTGAGCCACTTGTGTGGGTTGTAGACACCGTCTCATGCTACCACTAGAGTGAAAGCACCGCCAGCATTCAAAAGTGACCAAAACATCAGCCAGGAAGCATAGGAACTGAGAAGTGGTCTGTGGTCACCACCTGCAGAACCAGTCCTTTATTGGGGGTGTCTTGCTAATTGCCTATAATTTCCACCTGTTGTCTATTCCATTTGCACAACAGCATGTGAAATTTATTGTCAATCAGTGTTGCTTCCTAAGTGGACAGTTTAATTTCACAGAAGTGTGATTCAAATCAAATCAAATTTTATTGGTCACATGCGCCGAATACAACAGGTGCAGACATTACAGTGAAATGCTTACTTACAGCCCTTAACCAACAGTGCATTTATTTTAAACCAAAAAAGTAAGAATAAAACAACAACAAAAAAAAGTGTTGAGAAAAAAAGAGCAGAAGTAAAATAAAGTGACAGTAGGGAGGCTATATATACAGGGGGGTACCGTTGCAGAGTCAATGTGCGGGGGCACCGGCTAGTTGAGGTAGTTGAGGTAATATGTATATGTGGGTAGAGTTAAAGTGACTATGCATAAATACTTAACAGAGTAGCAGCAGCGTAAAAAGGATGGGGTGGGGGGGCAGTGCAAATAGTCCGGGTAGCCATGATTAGCTGTTCAGGAGTCTTATGGCTTGGGGGTAGAAGCTGTTGAGAAGTCTTTTGGACCTAGACTTGGCACTCCGGTACCGCTTGCCGTGCGGTAGCAGAGAGAACAGTCTATGACTAGGGTGGCTGGAGTCTTTGACAATTTTGAGGGCCTTCCTCTGACACCGCCTGGTATAGAGGTCCTGGATGGCAGGAAGCTTTGCCCCAGTGATGTACTGGGCCGTACGCACTACCCTCTGTAGTGCCTTGCGGTCGGAGGCCAAGCAGTTGCCATACCAGGCGGTGATGCAACCAGTCAGGATGCTCTCGATGGTGCAGCTGTATAATTTTTTGAGGATCTGAGGACCCATGCCAAATCTTTTTAGTCTCCTGAGGGGGAATAGGCTTTGTCGTGCCCTCTTCATGACTGTCTTGGTGTGTTTGGACCATGATAGTTCGTTGGTGATGTGGACACCAAGGAACTTGAAGCTCTCAACCTGTTCCACTACAGCCCCGTCGATGAGAATGGGGGCGTGCTCAGTACTCTTTTTTTTCCTGTAGTCCACATCATCTCCTTTGTCTTGGTCACGTTGAGGGAGAGGTTGTTGTCCTGGCACCACACGGCCAGATCTCTGACCTCCTCCCTATAGGCTGTCTCATCGTTGTCGGTGATCAGGCCTACCACTGTTGTGTCGTCGGCAAACTTAATGATGGTGTTGGAGTCGTGCCTGGCCATGCAGTCATGGGTGAACAGAGAGTACAGGAGGGGACTGAGCACGCACCCCTGAGGGGCCCCCGTGTTGAGGATCAGTGTGGCAGATGTGTTGTTACCTACCCTTACCACCTGGGGGCGGCCCGTCAGGAAGTCCAGGATCCAGTTGCAGAGGGAGGTGTTTAGTCCCAGGATCCTTAGCTTAGTGATGAGCTTAGAGGGCACTATGGGGTTGAATGCTGAGCTGTAGTCAATGAATAGCATTCTCACGTAGGTGTTCCTCTTGTCCAGGTGGGAAAGGGCAGTGTGGAGTGCGATAGAGATTGCATCATCTGTGGATCTGTTGGGGCGGTATGCAAATTGGAGTGGGTCTAGGGTTTCTGGGATTATGCTGTTGATGTGAGCCATGACCAGTCTTTCAAAGCACTTCATGGCTACAGACGTCAGTGCTACGGGTCGGTAGTCATTTAGGCAGGTTATCTTAGAGTTCTTGGGCACGGGGACTATGGTGGTCTGCTTGAAACATGTTGGTATTACAGACTCAGTCAGGGACATGTTGAAAATGTCAGTGAAGACACTTGCCAGTTGGTCAGCACATGCTCGGAGTACACGTCCTGGTAATCCGTCTGGCCCTGCGGCCTTGTGAATGTTGACCTGCTTAAAAGTCTTACTCACATCGGCTACGGAGAGCGTGATCACATAGTCATCCGGAACAGCTGGTGCTCTCATGCATGCTTCAGTGTTGCTTGCCTCGAAGCGAGCATAGAAGTGGTTTAGCTCGTCTGGTAGGCTTGTGTCACTGGGCAGCTCGCGGCTGTGCTTCCCTTTGTAGTCTGTAATAGTTTTCAAGCCCTGCCACATCCGACGAGCGTCAGAGCCAGTGTAGTATGATTCAATCTTAGACCTGTATTGACTCTTTGCCTGTTTGATGGTTCGTCAGAGGTCATAGCGGGATTTCTTATAAGCGTCCGGGTTAGAGTCCCGTTCCTTGAAAGCGGCAGCTCTACCCTTTAGCTCAGTGCGGATGTTTCCTGTAATCCATGGCTTCTGGTTGGGGTATGTACGTACGGTCACTGTGGGGACGACATCATCGATGCACTTATTGATGAAGCCAGTGACTGATGTGGTGTACTCCTCAATGCTGTCTGAAGAATCCCGGAACATGTTCCAGTCTGTGCTAGCAAAACAGTCCTGTAGCTTAGCATCTGCGTCATCTGACCACTTTTTTATTAACCGAATCACTGGTGCTTCCTGCTTCAGTTTTTGCTTATAAGCAGGAATCAGGAGGATAGAGTTATGGTCAGATTTGCCAAATGGAGGGCGAGGGAGAGCTTTGTATGCGTCTCTGTGTGTGGAGTAAAGGTGGTCTAGAGTTTTTTTTCCCTCTGGTTGCACATTTAACATGCTGGTAGAAATTAGGTAGAACGGATTTAAGTTTCCCTGCATTAAAGTCCCCGGCCACTAGGAGCGCTGCATCTGGATGAGCGTTTTCCTGTTGATTAATGGCCTTGTACAACTCATTCAGTGCAATCTTAATGCCAGCATTGGTTTGTGGTGGTAAATAGACAGCTATGAAAAATATAGATGAAAACTCTCTTGGTAAATAGTGTGGTCTACAGCTTATCATAAGATACTCTACCTCAGGCGAGCAAAACCTCGAGACTTCCTTAGTATTTGATTTTGTGCACCAGCTGTTGTTTACAAATATACACAGACCGCCACCCCTTGTCTTACCAGAGTCAGCCGTTCTGTCCTGCCGATGTAGCGTATAGCCTGCTAGCTGAATGTTATCATTGTTGTCGTTCAGCCACGACTCCGTGAAACATAAGATATTACAGTTTTTAATGTCCCGTTGGTAGGATAACCGTAATCTTAAATCGTCCATTTTATTCTCAAAAGATTGAACGTTGGCTAATAGGATTGATGGAAGAGGCAGTTTACTCGCTCGCCGTCGGATCCTTACAAGGCATCCGGATATGCGTCCGCGATATCTCCATCTCTTCCTCACGCGAATGACGGGGATTTGGGCCTTGTCGGGTGTCTGTATGATATCCTTCGCGGCCGCCTCGTTGAAGAAAAAATCTTCGTCCAATGCGAGGTGAGTAATCGCTGTCCTGATATCCAGAAGCTCTTTTTGGTTATAAGAGACGATGGCAGAAACATTATGTACAAAATAAATTACAAATAACGCGGAAAAACACACATAATAGTACAATTGGTTTGAGGGCTGTAAAACGGCAGCCATCTTCTCCGGCGCTGTATATATGATTGACTTGGAGTTACATTGTGTTGTTTAAGTGTTCCCTTTATTTTTTTGAGCAGTGTATATCCATGAGTCTGGGAGAGAACGCATAGCCCTAGGCGGTGCTGTTGGTTCATGGATTGTGCAGGGCGGCTTACAGTTAGCCTACAATTAGTGAATTTGCATTTGATTTTGAATAGCCTAGTAATAGGGAAAATTTTATATTTTCATAATTAATTGGGTGACACATTACCTTTAACTACATACTATCTCACCACCATGCGTTTTCATCTCCTCTTCTCTCTCCTTTATTCATTTCTCGAGCGCACGGACGGGCTGTCAACAGTTTAGTGAAATGTGTTTCGTTGCGAAAACATGTTACAATCGATGTTCCCGAACAGATTTCACTTGGTTTCCCAAATTAAGCAATGAGAGCCCATGTCATACAGAGTTTGGGTGGAATGTCACATGTCAGGCAGCAAGAGCATACTCCTCAAACAGTGGTTGATGCATGGATTGCAATAAGTGTTCTTGTATTTATTTCTCAGCTGCTGTTATTAAACACAGCTCCACTATAAAACCGAAATAGCCTACAAAACGGACTGGCGGGAAAGCTCGCGGCCTCCATTCCCTATTTAAGTGCATACAGATTACATTACTTTTCCCCCCTGCCCCTGTTCCTGCCGTTTCATAACGGCCAATTCTAAATCGAAACTAATTTTACATATTAGTAAAGACAAGATTAAATGTAGAATAGTTGATGGGTGAAAATCACTTGATGAGAGAACAGCTGTGCAGCCTGAGGAAAGGAACATTGCGCAAGCTTTTTTTTGCTTCTTTCTCAAATCATCAATAGCCTGTAGTCGCATCATGCAGTCCATATACGTTTTGATTTCTAAGACATTCTAAGGTTTGTATCATTCACAACTAAAGTTGCCAAATAACGCTAAATCTAGCATACTTTTATGCTCAATATAGCCATGTCATATGCGCACCAAAATGCTTTCAATTTTTTCCCAGCTAAATTCAATTATGTTTTTCTTACTATAAAATCATATAAAATAATGGCACGGGACTTATAAGCATATCTTGTCAGCTAAATTAACAAGCCTATGGCATGGAGCATAACCAGATAACATACAGAAGGACAACTCATATACAGTGAGGGAAAAAGGTATTTGATCCCCTGCTGATTTTGTACGTTTTCCCACTGACAAAGAAATGATCAGTCTATAATTTTAATGGTAGGTTTATTTGAACAGTGAGAGACAGAATAACAACAACAAAAATCCAGAAAAACGCATGTCAAAAATGTTATAAATTGATTTGCATTTTAAAGAGGGAAATAAGTATTTGACCCCCTCTCAATCAGAAAGATTTCTGGCTCCCAGGTGTCTTTTATACAGGTAACGAGCTGAGATTAGGAGCACACTCTTAAAGGGAGTGCTCCTAATCTCAGTTTGTTACCTGTATAAAAGACACCTGCCCACAGAAGCAATCAATCAATCAGATTCCAAACTCTCCACCATGGCCAAGACCAAAGAGCTTTCCAAGGATGTCAGGGACAAGATTGTAGACCTACACAAGGCTGGAATGGGCTACAAGACCATCGCCAAGCAGCTTGGTGAGAAGGTGACAATAGTTGATGTGATTATTTGCAAATGGAAGAAACACAAAAGACCTGTCAATCTCCTTTGGCCTGGGGCTCCATGCAAGATCTCACCTCGTGGAGTTGCAATGATCATGAGAACGGTGAGGAATCAGCCCAGAACTACACGGGAGGATCTTGTCAATGATCTCAAGGCAGCTGGGACCATAGTCACCAAGAAAACAATTGGTAACACACTACGCCGTGAAGGACTGAAATCCTGCAGCGCCCGCAAGGTCCCCCTGCTCAAGAAAGCACATATACACGGCCATCTGAAGTTTGCCAATGAACATCTGAATGATTCAGAGGAGAACTGGGTGAAAGTGTTGTGGTCAGATGAGACCAAAATCGAGCTCTTTGGCATCAACTCAACTCGCCGTGTTTGGAGGAGGAAGAATGCTGCCTATGACCCCAAGAACACCATCCCCACCGTCAAACATGGAGGTGGAAACATTATGCTTTGAGGGTGTTTTTCTGCTAAGGGGACAGGACAACTTCACCGCATCAAAGGGACGATGGACGGGGCCATGTACCGTCAAATCTTGGGTGAGAACCTCCTTCCCTCAGCCAGGGCATTGAAAATGGGTCGTGGATAGGTATTCCAGCATGAAAATGACCTAAAACACACGGCCAAGGCAACAAAGGAGTGGCTCAAGAAGAAGCACATTAAGGTCCTGGAGTGGCCTAGCCAGTCTCCAGACCTTAATCCCATAGAAAATCTGTGGAGGGAGCTGAAGGTTCGAGTTGCCAAACGTCAGCCTCGAAACCTTAATGACTTGGAGAAGATCTGCAAAGAGGATTGGAACAAAATCCCTCCTGATATGTGTGCAAACCTGGTGGCCAACTACAAGAAACGTCTGACCTCTGTGATTGCCAACAAAGGTTTTGCCACCAAGTACTAAGTCATGTTTTGCAGAGGGGTCAAATACTTATTTCCCTCATTAAAATGCAAATCAATTTATAACATTTTTTACATGCGTTTTTCTGGATTATTTTGTTGTTATTCTGTCTCTCACTGTTCAAATAAACCTACCATTAAAATTATAGACTGATCATGTCTTTGTCAGTTATTCTGTCTCTCACTGTTCAAATAAACCTACCATTAAAATTATAGACTGATCATGTCTTTGTCAGTGGGCAAACGTACAAAATCAGCAGGGGATCAAATACTTTTTTCCCTCACTGTATATGTGATGGTGTATATTAAATTGATATATTATACTTTTTTTATGTAGATGTTCTAAAGGCGCACATCAGCGGCTTGTATGTGTGGAGGCCTGGAGATGCTAAAAGTGTTTATGTTAATTAATGGTAAATTACCGTGAGACCTGGCAGTCTTTTGCATGACAATAACCAGCTGACAAAATTTCATGACCGCCACAGCCCTAGTCAGGAGACTTCATTTACCAGGGAGACCTTGTCACTGTTATGTCAGACCACTTTAATCTAACTGTTTCTCTGTTGTTCCAGCAGCACCCAGCAGGGTTGGAGGCTATCAGCCCCAGTGAGGAGGTGACTGACATGGAGGACAATGAGGAAGAGGACCTGGGAGTGTTGGACGACCAGCGGAGCATCATCCTGCACCTCCTCTCCCAGCTCAAACTGGGCATGGACCTCACCCGGGTAAGACAGCCAATGCTCTCTGCTCTCTTCATGTCTTTTCCTTTGAATGTTAGAGATGGTATGGCCAACACAACGCTTACTGGTTCACTGAATAGATTATGTAGAAATGTCTTGATTCCTTTTTACGACAGCCAACGCTCTCTGTTCTCTCTTCATAGTTTTCCCTTGGAATGTTAGAGCTGGTAATGCCAACGCAATGTTTACTGGTTCACTCACTGAATAGGAATGTCTTGATTCTTGTTTTAGGAAGTACAGCTTACAGTTATGTACTGGTATGTCCATTTGAATATAATCATCAATGGCATCAAAACAATCATGGAATGACACTAAAAAGGCTTTTAGTTCAAATTATGACTAGTGCTCCTCTTTATTACTGTTCCCTATCAGCACTCTAGTGAAGTGTCTCCCTCATGCAGTTTATCGGTCGCCTCCCGCCCTGTTTACTAGGTGGTGCTACCCACCTTCATCCTGGAGAAGCGCTCCCTGCTGGAGATGTATGCTAATTTCATGGCCCACCCGGACATGTTCCTGTCCATCACGGCTGGCGCCACGGCGGAGGACCGCATCGTACGCTTCGTCGAGTACTACCTTACCGCCTTCCACGAGGGCCGCAAAGGAGCTGTGGCCAAGAAGCCCTACAACCCGGCACTGGGTGAGACCTTCCACTGTTCCTGGGAGGTGCCACGGGACAGAGTGAGGCCCCTCAGGTCTCAGAGCCCCAGGGAACCAGCCTCCAGGGGCCCCAACAACACCCAACAGCAGGACGATCCGTCGGGGACCGAGTGTTACCGCGTTCGCTTCATAGCCGAGCAGGTGTCCCACCACCCGCCTGTCTCAGGGTTCTACTGCGAGTGCCCAGAGAGGAGGATGTGTGTCAGTGCCCACGTGTGGACGAGAAGCAAGTTCATGGGCATGTCCATTGGTGTGTCCATGATAGGGGAAGGTGAGTGAATTGATGTGCTTCAGGTTCATTGAGGCTCAGTTAAAAGCTGGCACCATAAGTACAGTGAGGGAAAAAAGTATTTGATCCCATGCTGATTTTTTTATGTTTGCCCACTGACAAATACATGATCAGTCTATAATTTTAATGGTAGGTTTATTTGAAGTGAGAGACAGAATAACAACAAAAGAATCCAGAAAAACGCATGTCAAAAATGTTATTAATTGATTTGCATTTTAATGAGGGAAATAAGTATTTGACCCCTCTGCAAAACATGACTTAGTACTTGGTGGCAAAACCTTTGTTGGCAATCACAGAGGTCAGACGTTTCTTGTAGTTGGCCACCAGATTTGCACACATCTCAAGAGGGGTTTTGTCCCACTCCTCTTTGCAGATCTTCTCCAAGTCATTAAGTTTTCGAGCCTGACGTTTGGCAACTCGAACCTTCAGCTCCCTCCACAGATTTTCTATGGGATTAAGGTCTGGAGACTGGCTAGGCCACTCCAGGACCTTAAGGTGCTTCTTCTTGAGCCACTCCTTTGTTGCCTTGGCCGTGTGTTTTGTGTCATTGTCATGCTGGAATACCCATCCACGACCCATTTTCAATGCCCTGGCTGAGGGAAGGAGGTTCTCACCCAAGATTTGACGGTACATGGCCCCGTCCATCGTCCCTTTGATGCGGTGAAGTTGTCCTGTCCCCTTAGCAGAAAAACACCCCCAAAGCATAATGTTTCCACCTCCATGTTTGACGGTGGGGATGGTGTTCTTGGGGTCATAGGCAGCATTCCTCCTCCTCCAAACACGGCGAGTTGAGTTGATGCCAAAGAGCTCGATTTTGGTCTCATCTGACCACAACACTTTCACCCAGTTCTCCTCTGAATCATTCAGATGTTCATTGGCAAACTTCAGACGGGCCTGTATATGTGCTTTCTTGAGCAGGGGGACCTTGCGGGCGCTGCAGGATTTCAGTCCTTCACGGCGTAGTGTGTTACCAATTGCTTTCTTGGTGACTATGGTCCCAGCTGCCATTGAGATCATTGACAAGATCCTCCCGTGTAGTTCTGGGCTGATTCCTCACCGTTCTCATGATCATTGCAACTCCACGAGGTGAGATCTTGCATGGAGCTCCAGGCCGAGGGAGATTGACAGTTATTTTGTGTTTCTTCCATTTGCAAATAATCGCACCAACTGTTGTCACCTTCTCACCAAGCTGCTTGATGATGGTCTTGTAGCCCATTCCAGCCTTGTGTAGGTCTACAATCTTGTCCCTCACATCCTTGGAGAGCTCTTTGGTCTTGGCCATGGTGGAGAGTTTGGAATCTGATTGATTGCTTCTGTGGACAGGTGTCCACACAAGCTGCTCCTAATCTCAGCTCGTTACCTGTATAAAAGACCTGGGAGCCAGAAATCTTTCTGATTGAGAGGGGGTCAAATACTTATTTCCCTCATTAAAATGCAAATCAATTTATAACATTTTTGACATGCGTTTTTCTGGATTTTTGTTGTTGTTATTCTGTCTCTCACTGTTCAAATAAACCTACCATTAAAATTATAGACTGATCATTTTTTGTCAGTGGGCAAACGTACAAAATCAGCAGGGGATCAAATACTTTTTTCCCTCACTGTACATGATTGAGTTCAAATCATATACTTTTCTTAAGCTTATGCTCATGTTTTGGAATATACATGGAGATACAGTTGGTGGCAGTTTGAATGGCATTAGCAACGCGAATGCCCCGACCCACCTGAGGATCTGTCTTTTTCAGCCACCTATTTCCTGTGTTTGAGGGGTGCAAAAGTCTTGTCACTTAAATCTCGTTAGATTGATTGCTTTCATTTTACTCCTGCGACTCTTTCATACTCTTGCTTGTGCCTGTAGTTTTTTCCCCATTACCGTTACGATCACGGAGATGTTTGTAATGACCTGTCAAACACACCCCTAATGGCTGAAATGGTCTCAATGGAATACATTGTCTTTCCGTTGCATCTATAAGAACGCTAAAGCTTTGTCTGGGATTAAACGCATCGTCTCGACACATCACAAGAAAGAGAAGAAAGACAACTTTATTTTGATGGATGTCAATTATTTGTGGAATTGAAAAAGTAATACTTTTAATACAGTTGAAATGTTTACAAATTAGATGCGCTAAAATGAAAATAACTTCCGAAAATGAACACTCGGATTATAATTATATTATTTCTCATTTCGCAAACAATGTAAAGTATGTATGGAGAGGTGTTTTCTAGAGCCAAGCGTGTTGATTTTTAATCCGATGGTATCCTGCTATTGATACACATGTTGAATTATGCAACAGAACGTGACAACAACAGTAATTAATGAGTCAGTCTAGACAGAGCAGGTGAGTGCAGGAAGGCAGAGCACGTATTTGGTGGTTGCAGCCTTGTTCCATTCCTTTATGTTAATATATTCATATATGCAAAAACAATACACCATGTACTTATGCAAATTAAGGTATTATCATTTGATTTATTTTAACAGAAAATATTTTAAAAAATACCTGATACCTTTAGAAAAAAAGGTGAGATCTTACAATAAATTGAATACCTGAGTTCCCACCACAATCCCTGAACTCCATAAATTATTTGCCCGTGCCAGAAATGTTTTATGTGCTATAATTCAGTCAATATCCGATGTATTTTTTTAATGGTAAAAGTTTGGAGTATCTTCATCCATTGTCCAACTGTTGCATTTATTAGAATTGTTTTTAACAGATCTCATAAACTCCTGAGTGGCGCAGTGGTCTAAGGCACTGCATCGCAGTGCTAACTGTGCCACTAGAGATCCTGGTTCGAATCCAGGCTCTGCTGTAGCCGGCCGCAACCGGGAGACCAATGGGGCGGTGCACAATTGGCCCAGCGTCGTCCAGGGTAGGGGAGGGAATGGCCGGCAGGGATGTAGCGTTGATAGAGCATGGCGTTTGCAATGCCAGGGTTGTGGGTTCGATTCCCACGGGGGGCCAGTATAAAAAAATATGTATTCACTAACTGTAAGTCGCTCTGGATAAGAGAGTCTGCTAAATGACTAAAATGTAAATGTAAATGTTTAAAACCTTTCAACAATTTTGATTACTGTTGCTAATGGCATCTACAGCAGCCAGTTTTACTCTCATACCTATCCATTGTGCATAGTCCTATTGCACAATGGAAGGGTATGAGAGTTCTCTGATGACAATCAATACATGAGTCCTCTATCTGCTGTCATGACGCCACAATGTAGGCTTTTCTGAATGAGTCACACTGATGGAATACAGGAAGCCCTTGTATACAGATTCAGTTGATTCAGTTCATGTTATACTGATTCACCACGACCAGACAATATTCTCATGTGTCCTTTTTAATGCCTGGTGAGTCATACCACAGGATTTGTGCATTCACTGTGGGATTACTTTTGAAGCACAATGTTGACCCGCTCACATTTAGAGGCCTGTGTGGTTTGGCATCTTTATGAGTAATGTGCCTCTAATGAAAATATAAATATTTTTTGAGCGGACAATATTTAGTGCTGCATTGATTGGTGCTGATTAAGATGATGTCTGATGGAGAGGAGAGTACAGTAAGCATGTGTCAGATACAATCTGCTCCTGCTGTGATTTGCGGTGGCTGTGGGTTGTCATGGACAGCACGGTGGGTTGCCATGGACAGCACGGTGGGTTGTCATGCACAGCACGGTGGGTCGATGTGGGTGTTTAGCTAAAAAGAGGATAAGATGATGTCTGATGGAGAGGAGAGTACAGGAAGCATGTGTCAGATACAATCTGCTCCTGCTGTGATTTGCGGTGGCTGTGGGTTGTCATGGACAGCACGGTGGGTCGATGTGGGTGTTTAGCTAAAAAGAGGATAAATTGTGTCTGTACTGACGGTATTATAAATGCTAGATTGTTATGCCTTAATGCTCTCAACCAAAGACAGTATTAATTCAGTGACATTGGACATATAGTACAGTACATTGCATACACAGTATGAAGAGGTGGACAAGGTAAGACAAGGGGGTCGAGGAGGGATCGATTGTGAAGGAAATGTTTCCCACTTGTAATATAGCCAAACTAGTGTATGCAAGCCAGTTATGTGATGACCTTCCACATGATTTCTCTCCTGACTCAATTAGGGTGTTTTCACACATAGTCCTCTTAAAAGAACAGATCTCATTCCTCTTTAAAGTGAACTGTGGGGTAAAAAAAAGCAAAACAACTCAGTTCTCTTTGTATTCACGCTGCCCTTGCCTTTGAATGAGGACTCAACTCTTTTGCCAGTTCACTTCACCAATGCTGTGGTCTGAGTCCTCTTTGCATTCACATTGCTATGTTTAGAAAGGAACCAAGATCTTTTTCCAACATTCACTCAATGCACTCTGGGTTTTTACAAGGTGCAGGACAAGCCATTCCATCAGAATGTGTTATCGGACAGCTAGATTTTACATTTTTTACATTTTAGTCATTTAGCAGACGCTCTTAACCAGAGCTACTTACAGGAGCAATTAGGGTTAAGTGCCTTGCTCAAGGGCACATTAACGTCATTTAGCAGACGCTCTTAGCCAGAGCGACTCACAAATTGGTGCGTTCACCCTATAGCCAGTGGGATAACCACTTTACAATTTGGGGGGGGGGGGGGTTAGAAGGAATACTTTATCCTATCCCAGGTATTCCTTAAAGAGGTGGGGTTTCAAATGTCTCCGGAAGGTGGTGAGTGACTCCGCTGTCCTGGCGTCGTGAGGGAGCTTGTTCCACCACTGGGGTGCCAGAGCAGCGAACAGTTTTGACTGGGCTGAGCGGGAGCTATGCTTCCGCAGAGGAAGGGGAGCCAGCAGGCCAGAGGTGGATGAACGCAATGTCCTCGTTTGGGTGTAGGGACTGATCAGAGCCTGAAGGTACAGAGGTGCCGTTCCCCTCACTGCTCCATAGGCAAGCACCATGGTCTTGTAGCGGATGCGAGCTTCAACTGGAAGCCAGTGGAGTGTGCGGAGGAGGGGGGGTGACGTGAGAGAACTTGGGAAGGTTGAACACCAGACGGGCTGCGGCATTCTGGATGAGTTGTAGGGGTTTAATGGCACAGGCAGGGAGCCCAGCCAACAGCGAGTTGCAATAGTCCAGACGGGAGATGACAAGTGCCTGGACCAGGACCTGCACCGCTTCCTGTGTAAGGCAGGGTCGCACTCTCCGAATGTTGTAGAGCATGAACCTGCAGGAGCGGGTCACCGCCTTGATGTTGGCGGAGAACGACAGGGTGTTGTCCAGGGTCACGCCTAGGCTCTTCGCACTCTGGGAGGAGGACACAGCGGAGTTGTCAACCGTGATGGCGAGATCATGGAACGGGCAGTCCTTCCCCGGGAGGAAGAGCAGCTCCGTCTTGCCATGGTTCAGCTTGAGGTGGTGATCCGTCATCCATACTGATATGTCTGCCAGACATGCAGAGATGCGATTCGCCACCTGGTTATCAGAAGGGGGAAAGGAGAAGATTAGTTGTGTATCATCAGCGTAGCAATGATAGGAAAGGCCATGTGAGGATATGACAGAGCCAAGTGACTTGGTGTATAGGGAGAAAAGGAGAGGGCCCAGAACCGATCCCTGGGGGACACCAGTGGTGAGAGCACGTGGTGCGGAGACAGCTTCCCGCCACGCCACTTGGTAGGAGCGACCGGTCAGGTAGGACGCAATCCAGGAGTGAGCCGCGCCGGAGATGCCCATCTCGGAGAGGGTGGAGAGGAGGATCTGATGGTTCACAGTATCAAAGGCAGCAGACAGGTCTAGAAGGACAAGAGCAGAGGAGAGAGAGTTAGCTTTAGCAGTGCGGAGAGTCTCCGTGACACAGAGAAGAGCAGTCTCAGTTGAATGACCAGTCCTGAAACCTGATTGGTTTGGATCAAGAAGGTCATTCTGAGAGAGATAGCAGGAGAGTTGGCTAAAGACGGCACGCTCAATAGTTTTGGAAAGAAAAGAAAGAAGGGATACTGGTCTGTAGTTGTTGACATCAGTGGGGTCGAGTGTTGGTTTTTTGAGAAGGGGAGTAACTCTCGCTCTCTTGAAGACGGAAGGGACATGGCCAGCGGTCAAGGATGAGTTGATCAGCGAGGTGAGGTAGGGGAGAAGGTCACCGGAGATGGTCTGGAGAAGGGAGGAGGGGATGGGGTCAAGCGGGCAGGTTGTTGGGCGGCCTGCAGTCACAAGTCGCAGGATTTTATCTGGAGAGAGAGGGGAGAAAGAAGTCAAAGCATAGGGTAGGGCAGTGTGAGCAGGACCAGCAGTGTCATTAGACTTAACAAACGAGGATCGGATGTCGTCAACCTTCTTTTCAAAGTGGTTGACGAAGTCATCCACAGAGAGAGAGAGGGGGGGGGGGGGGGGGGGGGGGGGGGATTCAGGAGGGAGGAAAATGTGGCAAAGAGCTTCCTAGGGTTAGAGGCAGATGCTTGGAATTTAGAGTGGTAGAGATTAGAGATATACCTACTAACATTTTGGAAGCTAATAGATTGCATTTAGTTAAAAGAGGAGACAATCATTGTAATCAGAAGATACTATTAACATGTAAATATTATTGGTAACAGAATAAATAGCAGAAGAATAACTGCAGATTAAATAATGCTGTAATCGGAAATTGTACACCCAATGTAGGCTACCGCCCCTTTAAGAGCTAGAATGGATTTTGTACCCCGTGTTGTGATTCTCACCAAATATGTTGGTGTATTCTCACACTATTCAAACCCTTCAATCGAATAAACAGCTTATGAAGCTCTCTTAGCCTATAGATCACATATTGCAAACAAATAATCTGAACTAAAAACTCGACACGTTTTGGAATTTCTGTGCATCCTTGACAATCGCTAATCAATAGGCCTAACCAAAAACAGCACACGTTTTTTCTGCAAATCTGCACATCATCATCTTCTCTCTATTGTGGCACTAATGTGAGAGGGTTTATTGCAGTAGTCTAGTGTGTGGTGCAGGAATAATGACAAGCAAACCTGGGGAACTTTGTGTTCACATTGCCCTAAAAAAGGGAACTGGACCACGGAATTCAAGCGAACCGAACTCAGACCGCCTCTTGAGATGGTCTCAGTTCAGTTCGCTTCGGGGGCTCTTTTGAGGGGTCTGAGTTCTTTGGAGTGTTTACACTGCACAAAAAATTAAGCAAACCAATTTGAGTTCACAAAAACTCTTAAAGGGACCAAGTGTGAAAACACCCTTATACTATTTAGCAATAATATTTATATTTATTTTATTTATTTTACCCTTATTTTCCCAGGCAAGTTGACAGAACAGTCTCATTTACAGCAACGACCTGGGGAATAGTTACAGGGGAGAGGAGGGGGGATGAATGAGCCAATTGGAAGCTGGGGATGATTAGGTGGCCATGATGGTTTGAGGGCCAGATTGGGAATTTAGACAGGACACTGGGGTTAACACCCCTACTCTTACGATAAGTGCCATGGGATCTTTAGTGACCACAGAATCAGTGCATGGGGCGATGTGGGGTCATGCACAGTGGGTGTCCACTGTTCTGCCTCAGTAACAGGAAAAACCTTGGCTAATGATGCTCACCATTAATGTTGTTAATGAGGCACTGTTGTCAGCATGCTTTTTTCTGTTAAACTCAATCACTAATGAAGATTGAACGTTGGAGAGGTCACATTTCACAGGCATTTTCTACCCAGCTTAAACATTAATCTTAGAAGAGTATATTTATGGTACGGAGATACTGTATCTTGCAAAGGATTTTCACTTGTAGTCTCTGCAAAAGCTTCTGCAGTATTCTATGGCATGTACAGTTTTTTTTAGACATTCAGGTAAATAAATGACGGGCGCTTGGCTACTTACCACCATGTACTAGGATAGCCAGTTCCCAGATCTGTTTGTGCTATCATGTCAACTCCTTGTTAGTTGTCACTCATTGTCTTAACCAAACATGAACAAATGTTTGCAAGAGGTGGCAACAGAGCAGAAACTGCCTGGGACCAGACTTGCACCAGTGAGATGCTGACCCTTTGATCTTTCCCACTCTGCTCCCCAGGGACCTTATGCCTTCTGGAGCATGACGAGGAGTATGTCTTCACTCTGCCCTGTGCCTACGCCCGCTCCATCCTCACCGTGCCATGGGTGGAGCTAGGTGGCAAAGTCACCATCAGCTGTGCCAAGAGTGGCTACTCAGCCACCGTCACATTCCACACCAAGCCTTTCTATGGAGGGAAGGTACACAGGTGGGTCTCTGAATGTGTGAGAGTGTGTGAGTGAGAGAGAGAAGAAGAGGAAGAGGGCGAGAGCGAGAGATTGCTTTGGCAATGTAAACATACTGTGTTTCCCATGCCAATAAAGCCCTTTGAATTGAATTGAATTGAATTGAATTGAATTCAGAGAGAGAGAGGATTTGAACACTGTATTGAAATGATTTGAACGTCATAATTTCAAATCTATTTTGAATGGTAAATAATCTGTTGTGTCATTCTGTCATACTTTTATTGTGAATAAGAATAGAATATGTTTCTAAACACTTCTACTACATTAATGGGGATGCTACCATGATTACGGATAATCATGAATGAATCGTGAATAATGATGAGTGAGAAAGTTACAGAGGCATAAATATCAAACATATTCTTATTTACTATATAAGTGGCTCCAAAATGACACTACATTATTTACCATTTATTTATATTGGGCACAAAATAAACTGAAACACAACCAAAACAAACTGCAAATGCATCCAACAAATTTGTAGAGTCACAAACATGATGTAGTCATTGCGTGCTATAAATATGGGACATAAGTGAATTTGTCCAAATACTTTGTTCCCTTAAATGAGGGGACTATGTACAAAAAGTGCTGTAATTTCTAAACGGTTCACCCAATATGTATGAAAAAATCCTCAAATTAAAGCTGACAGTCTGCACTTTAACCTCGTAGTCTTTTAATAATTTCAACGTGCTGAAGTACAGAGCCAAAACAACAACACGTGTCACTGTCCAAATACTTTTGGACCTCACTGTAATTCGATATTACTATGGCAGTACAATGTATCATAAGAGTAATGTTGAGCAATGATGGGCTGCCACTAAGTACATCTTCTGAACATCGCTGCTAAATTTTCCTCTCAGGGTGACTGCAGAAGTCAAACACAACCCGACCAACACCATTGTGTGCAAGGCCCAGGGGGAGTGGAACGGAACCCTGGAGTTCACCTATAGCAGCGGGGAGACCAAAGTGATTGACACAGCCAAATTGCCAATCATCAAGAAGAAGCTCCGGCCTGTGGAGAAGCAGGGACAGAATGAGTCCAGGTAAGATGCTCCTAGGTCCAATATGCTGTATTTTTGGTCCCTTCTTAGTGGACCAGGGTCGTGTTCATTACACACCAAACAGAAGTAAACTGGACTGAAACAAGGAGGGACTCCCTGGACTTGGTGTATATGGAACAGTAGCCGTTATAGTAGCTATCTTGTCAGCTATGTGTGGGTTTGTTATATACATGTTCTTTATGCGTTTGTGTAGGCGGTTATGGCAGCATGTCACCAAGTCACTGAAGGAGGGGAACATTGACGAGGCCACGGAACACAAGCATCGTCTAGAGGAGCGCCAGAGAGGGGAGGAGAGGCAGAGAGCTGCAGTCAACTCGCCCTGGACACCCAAATATTTCAGTAAAAAGGTAGTTACAGGAGGAAGTTGAGCCAGGGTTAAATATAAAACTAGGGTAAGGGCTGGGGCTATATGTTCAACCCTATCCCTAACCTTTACCCTACTTTTCTCTTTGGACCCACGAGGTGCTGGACCCCGGCTCCACCTGGCTCTCCCTTTGACTTAACCTAACGTAGCAGGAGTAAAAGGAAATGCCTGAGTGGAGTTCCCACACGGTTTTCAGAGGAAGCTAGATTGAATTAGCTGTATCCCTGAAAACTGGATACATCCAGGTGGTTGGCAACTCCGCTAAGGGTGCTTTGTCCCAAGGTGCAGGAACCTGGCTCCAGGTGAATAAACTCAATTTAACCACTGATGCTAATCTGGTTTTGTCTTTGTTCTTGCCTTTAGGGAGAAGATTGGATCTACCACAATCCTCTGTGGAAATCTCACTGACACAAGAACCAGACTGCTCTAATGGACACTAACTTAGAGCCTCTATCCCCTAAACGAGGGGCCAGGCCAGGGGAAGGATAATGATGGAACAGCCATTCGCTCTCCATTGGGACCCGAGATACTGACTCTTAATGACATGGACAATGGACACACTCATGGGAATCAAGTGGTTTCCAATTGAACTACGAGGGTGGGAGTGACAGATTTTTATAGTATTCGAGGTAGAGAATTTCTATTTTTCACTTTACCAAGGCCTTTTTCCTTTTGCAAATGCATGGTATGACATGATTTGTCACTGGTATTTTTTTCCAGTTGTGTTGACACATTCATTATCTTTTTAGGTTCTAACGCCTTTATTTGTCACACAGCATCAGAATGCAATGGGATGAGGAGGAAGGTGGCACAGATGGACTCAGTAGGACCCATTGCAGTGTTGATGGAATACAAGTGTTGATGGCAAAGATGCAAATATGTTTGGAGATATGTTTTTGTTACATTAGTTCCCATCTGGTTTTCAACAAATGGTGACGACTAGGAGCAGTCTATTTCTTATCACTTTACGTTGCCATTCTGCCCATCCAGACCTTTAGAAGGAGTTTTGACCATTCCTGAAATGACTGTTTGCCTCTGCTCTTCCATGCATACAGATTTCCCATCACTCGCTTACCCACTTATTACACAGTTAACACTCCATTGGACCCTATCTTCCCGAGAGGTCTTTCCTCCTTCCAGGTATGTGTCCTTATGTTGGGATTGATATAACATAATTAAGCTGGAGCTGTACCCAGCTCACAACTCATCATGCTAATATCTCAGTGGGCTGCCTCTGAGTTGAATATGGATAAGGTGCATAGGAAGACAACCCCATTCTCACAGAGGGGCACCGAGAGGTGTAGTCTCTCCCGATGTCATTCAGGATTATGTTATTGACAGGATATGAGGTACTGTGGTGGTGGTAGTAGTAGAGGGGATGTTTTGGGTCATACATAGCCATTATATATTTACATTTTCACAAAATGTGCTAATTGACATACCCTGAGTATACCAAACATTAGGAAAACCTTCCTAATATTGAGCTTCACCCCCCATGTCTCAAGGCTTAAAAATCCTCCTTTAACCCGTCTCCTCCCCTTCATCTACACTGATTGTGGATTTAACAAGTGGGATCATAGCTTTCACCTGGTCAGCCTCATGGAAAGAGCAATTGCTCTTAATGTTTTTTACGCTCAGTGTAAATGCTGTGTATACATTGTTATACTATTATATCTGATTGCCTTTGTATATTATTCAGCCAAACATCTAATGGAAAAGTGTTTTTTAGTGTCCACCTTTATTTTGTTCTTAGAAAAGTGATCAATGCTATATTCTCTGGTTAAGTAATTTCAACCATCCATGATTATAGACTGAGTGGCTTGCTGCATTACATTGTAGTACGATCATGGTATAAACTAACGGCAGAATCATCTTGCAGTGCAAATGTGAAAATCAGCAGGGATGAGAATTAGCCGTCACATCTGTCCAGTTTCTTGCAGCACTCAGTGTGTTCTTGAATTACTAGTGACCTTGACATCTGGCAATATGCAGATGCATGATTTTGATTAGTCTCCAGCACTCAAGACAAGTGTAAGTATTGATACAGTAAATACGCATTGTGGGTTATTTGGAAAGATATGTCCACAAAGATAGATGAAATTTTTTCCCATGTGTCCAACTAAGATATTCTGAATGTATGTGCATTAATTTGGGTTTCATAGAGCACTGCAATGTACCCAAGAGCTTGAACCAAACTCCTCATTCACTTGGTTAAAAAACCTATGCAACACCTCATTTGTTATAACATCGGTTGAAGAAGTTAGGGATGGGGGCATAAATTGTTTTTTTTTTCTAATAAATGTGCCCTGGCAATCACTGTGTGTCTGTTGTCATTATGAACATTTTAGAATTCTCCCAAGTAACTTGAGTCAGCAAGTGGAAAATACAGAACAGCTGTAATTTGAAGGCTAGTGCTGCCATCGTGTGGTAAAAAAATGTTATTCTCTGAAGCCTCAGTTTATACCCAAGTCTTTGACTGTTATATGGAAATATTTCTAATATCCTATAAAAGATATCATGGAATCAATATACATTTGTTTTGGTTTTTAGAATGTATTTATTGTTTTGCACCTCTAAAAAGCTGCCTTGTATTCCCCAGTCTCAGTGAATACATGTACATTTCCTGGAATTGACTGAAGCCTCTGAGCAACTTAGTAAAAGCATCCTGCCTCCAAACCTAACAAAACTAATATCATGTTCCAAAGATACACTAACCCACCCAATTGGGAAAGCAAATAATTTGAGGATCACTTCTTACAAACTTGAACCTTTTATTTTGTCTACATTTAAACATGACTGAACAACAATGTAAAAAATGTTAACTTGGAAGGTGAGGGGGACCAGGGGCAGGGGTTGTCAAATATAATCAATGTAGTGGTGGGGCAGAGAGGAAGAGGTGTTGCACTGCTGAACGTTGGAAAACCAAGAAGAGGAGAAAGGAACTAGTCCACCATCCTCAACAAAAAATAAAGAAATAAGGTAACAATAAGAGGGCGAACAACCTGTACACTTTCTATATCACATTAAGGCTTACTCTCCAAACCCTTTGTCTCCTCACACACATTGAAATCGGGGGGGGGAGAACCCACAGATATAAAAAGAGCGTTTTGTTTTTTTATCACGTAAATAAATACGAGTTTCTCAAGTTTGTGTTTGAGCAAGGTCGATATTACATTGTGTGAAGGGCCATGAAGTGAAAGTAGTGACAATGCAGTCTTTCTCAGAGAAGATCAAAGAACAAAGCAATTTTATATCCAAAGGTGAAATAACAACTTCTGCATGTAAAGGAAAAGCAAGATAAGTATCAAACGAGCGATACAAATGAGGTAAACGTGAGTGAAGACGTCAACGATAAAAAACAACTGTATTCCTATGAAGTTTATGATGTGTAGACTATCTTTGATGTGTCACCTTCCCCCCCCCCCCCAAACACGCACACATACGATGTTCAACACAGATTTAGAATTCACAACGGGCCCAGTAAAGTGCCAGGGGGTGCACCCCTGTGTTTTAAGAGGGCACCATCACCCCTTTGTCCACTCACTGGCAGCCATCTTGAGATTCAGCACTTCAGCTTTCCTGCATTACCGTACTCTGCTCTTAGCTTCGTATCTACTCAGCAGCATTAACATGTGTGTGTATATGGACAGGCAAAAATTACTATGAGTAGTCAGATGGACATACTAACATGTGGTGATAAAGAGACCAGCAATGAGGCACTAGGCTCACAGACCGGACTAGAACGCGCCCCCTGCAGGGTGGAGGCCTAATTAATAATCACTACTTTTTACATAGAATTGCTTACATTTTTTAAACCTAGCAGCAGTATATACAATCTAAGCAATTTTTCAGGGGAGAAAGTTATAAAAAATTCACATTCTTTTTAAACAAAATCTCAAGTCCCTCCTAATGAGAATTATTGCATTCACTGTTCTATCTGCTGCCATAAAAAACATCACAACAAAGTAAAGAGAAGAAATAATCTGCGTATTTAAAAATCACCACAATAATCCAATATATTATAACCCTTTTCGCCATTTTGTTTACATAACATATTTACATATTAGGCCTTTTAATTTCTAAAGAATTGTCTCGGTAACGACATATTAGTGCCAAACAAAATAACAATGATAAAAAAAGATCAGCTGTTCCTAGACAATGGAATTCCTCCTTACCGTATACCGTTCGTTGTCTGTACACGTATTCCAATGGTTCCTCCCTCTTACAAAGGCAACACGTTTACATGTGCCAAGGAGAAAGATCAAGGGCTCTTTGGTGCAATTTCTCCCAGCCTCCTCAGTTTCCTTTCTCTTTATTTTGTCCCCCTCTAGAAATAACAGCTAAATGTACCACAAAATGTTACGCTCACCCCGGTTTCAGCAGCTCTGTGCCTTGCCACACATTCAAGTACAAACAAATAAAAGAAGAAAGAAAGAGCAAGACAAAAAGTCCTCTGGCTAAAACGGACAAAAGTTCTGGGGCTAGCCAGATATATGACACTTCACCCTCTCCAACACACAGGGTGCTGCGCTCAGAGGACTAGCCCTCGAGGCTAAGCGCTAACATTCAAGACAATGGCCGTTGTTCTTATTCATTGGTAGAGTTCTTTGCTAGTTCCATTTTTTTGTATGTTTTTTTATGTTGTCCGTCTTCATTATTACTTGTTTAGTTTCTTGCCTTTCTTCAGGACCAGCTTATTCCTGATGTGTCCTCGCTTCCTCTTAGCAGTCTGTGTAATGAAACAAACTTGATTTACAAACCCCTTTTCAATTGGCAATTTTTTCCTATATATCTACAAGTCAGAATTTGAGCGCACACACATTAACTGTAGGAAATAGAAGTGAGTTGGCTCACATTTTATGAACATTTCCTTTTGGTGGCTAAAATTTGAGAAGAAATAATCATATGTAAACTCACTACACCAGTATCATATAATGTCTTACATTCATTATCAGAATGAATGCTGAGAGACATGGAAGCCATTTACCTTTTTGGAGGTGTACTTCTGCCTGGGCACGATGCTGCGGAGCTTGTGCTCCAGCGGCTCCCTGTTCTCCAGCTTCTTCACCTTGTAGATGCGCACCAGCCAGTGCTCCGAGGTGAACGCCTCCTCCAGGTGCTTGAACTTGATGTCCTTGTTGCCGATCTCAGCGTTGCGGGTGCGGTCAAACCCAGGCGGTGTCCGGAAGTCCAGCTGAGAGATAAGGACAGCAGTAGGTGGGGTTGAGGGCGTCTACCTTCACACAAATGTTGTGTTTTTCATCTTACTTCATTATCAGGCTCTTTCCCTGCTCTTTTAAATCTGTACATCCCTTCACCTATCCCTCCCTCCCTCTACACTTTCTTCTACCTCCTCCTTCTGATCTCTTATTCTGTCCTTGTCACTTCCTCTTCCACAAAACCAATCTCTGTTCCCTTGCCTTTATCATTCTCTGAACCTGTCTCTCATCTCCTCTATGGGTTAAGACAGCTACAGCTTTGCTTGGCTGCCTGTCTGTGGAACCTACTGAAGCAGCCCACTGATCCTTCCTCCTCTTCACTGAGCTGCTGACCAGGCAACATGCAGCTCGCTATAAGTACCTGGCAGCTCTTCGCTCTCATATCTCGCCTGTACCTGCCAGAGCCTGAGCAATTCTGAGCGCTACCCTAACCCACCCTCCCTCCATCCATCCCCCACGCTTGTCAGCACATCCTTAAGCACCTCACTTGCCAGTCACTCAGTGCTTACTGTAGCCTGCTGTTGCTTCAAGTTCTTCACCACCACTCACCTGCATCTCGCCAAAGCGGTAGTAGGACATCTTGTACATGAGGCAGTTGAGCAGGACGGGCGAGCCGGCCTTGTCCACGCGGAACTCTCCCTGAGGGGTGAAGTAGTCACTCTCCTGAAGGGCACATGGGCACGAGGAGAGAAGAAAGTGAGACACTCGAGTGTTAAGACCACATCCCGATTTCTTCAAGGACACTGACATCAAATAGCAGAGACTGAACTTAATAGGGGAATAAAAACTGAAATAACTTGCCATCTATGATATGATGTAGTCTTACAACCATTCATTGTTCAGTTCATGTCTTTGATATTCAAAAACACATATGTTTACAAATCTGCATTGGATATTAGATACTTTGTCCTACGACCAAGTGCCAGTGAAGAAAATAAACATAGCTAGGAACAGCAATGTCCTTGGTTTTGCCCAGACTGATGAATTACTGTATTCCTCAAATCTAAGTGTTTAACCAGGTTCATCAGCATAACAAGAGGATTATAAATAGAAGAGTGAATGAAGGTCCTTCCGAATTGTGAGGCATCGGTGAACCCAACTAGGGGCAGTCTCAAGAAACCATGCACTCACCCGAATGTCCTTGGGATGCTCTCCCTCCGCTATCCTGACCATCCACAGGAACTTGTTGATGTCGTCGCCTGAGTAACCAATCACGCCCCCGAAGATGATCAGCACGTAGTCCACATCCAGACTCCTCATGATCTCGTACGCTGCACTCTCATTGGACGACATGGCTTTCCCCACCTACATAGGAGAGAGAAGATAAGGGAAGTAGAGGAGTTTGAGCAGAGGAAAGATGCAGGGAGATAGAAATAAGATATGGTGGGAAAATGAGACTCCAAAAAAGACAACACTCGCATCTCAAAGTTGTGCTGGCCCTGCGAAAAATCAATCAAGTCATTAGAGCAAAAAATATCCAACACACATTATTGCAGCTCCTACAAGTGAATGTATTGAATTCATTGATACAAGTTAAAGTCAAGAAGCCTATTTACTTTGGAGCATAAGGTATTTGAGTTGAGTTGAAATCCTCAAACCCCCAAAACCTCCCAATGCCCCCTTTTGATATTATGTTGTGTGACTCACCAGTGCTATATGACTGTTATTCCATGTGTTGTTGTCGACTAGCGTGGTTCGATTAGCCATGCCTGCTATCTGGTAGCCATAATCCCACCAAGACATAACCCTCGCGTGCTCGTCTGTGTTCTGCCTCAGCCAATAGTAGGCCTCCCTGAAGTCATCCAGGATGTTCCTCGTCCTACGGGGAGTGACGGAGTTGAGGAGTTACGGGAATGACAGTAATGGGAATGACAGCCAGGCAACCATATGTTTGGTAACTTATTATTATGGGATCCTATAACACAGGGATGACAGGTCACGGCAATGACGACCCAATATTGTACCCGCATAAATATATCTATGGGGAGTTTGTCGAATAGTTAGACTTCCTCCTATTTCCGTGTCACAATATTTTTAAAGCTCGAATTGAAAGAAAAGCAGCACACAAAGTCTTGCAAAAGCACATTTCATCCTCACATTGAAAGAATAGCACATAGAGAGCATAGTACATTACACATGGTAAACTATTGAATACCACTATCAATATGGACTTGGTCTTTTACCAAATAGGGCTATCTTCTGTATACAACCTCTACCTTGTTACATTTACGTCATTTAGCAGACGCTCTTATCCAGAGCGACTTACAAATTGGTGCATTCACCTTATAGCCAGTGGGATAACCACTTTACAATGTTTTTGTTTTCTTTCTTTGGGGAGGGGTAAGAGGGGGAACACAACTGATTGGTTCCAACGCATTAATAAGGAAATAAATTCCACAAATTAACTTTTAACAAGGCACACCTGTTAATTGTTATGGGACAAGATACAAAAATACTACAATGCAGAGATACACAACAATAATCAGGTTAACACTGAGCTCATCAACATCACAACTTTATCTGATGAAATATTAACGTGCATGCCCTTTTATCATTTTGTGTGAGTATATGTGAGTGTGTGTTCGTGCATTTGTACTATGTGTGTGTAAATGTATGCGCATGTGTGAACACACACACACACACACACACACACACACTATATATACACAAAAGTACAGTACCAGTCAAAAGTTTGGACACACCTACTCATTCAAGGGTTTTTCTTTATTTGTACTATTTTCTACATTGTAGAATAATAGTGAAGACATTAAAACTATGAAATAACACATATGTAGTAACAAAAAAAACTGTTAAACAAATCAAAATATATTATATATACACTACCGTTCAAAAGTTTGGGGTCACTTAGAAATGTCCTTGTTTGACAGAAAATCTTTTTTTTTGTCCATTAAAATAACATCAACTTGATCAGAAATACAGTGTAGACATTGTTAATGTTGTAAAGGGCTATTGTAGCAGGAAACGGCTGATTTTTAATGGAAAATCTACGTAGGCATACAGAGGCCCATTATCAGCAACCATCAGTCCTGTGTTCCAATGGCATGTTGTGTTTGCTAATCCAAGTTTATCATTTTAAAAGGCTAATTGATCACTAGAAAACCCTTTTGCAATTATGTTAGCACAGCTGAAAACTGTTGTGCTTATTAAAGAAGCAATAAAACTGGCCTTCTTGAGACTAGTTGAGTATCTGGAGCATCAGCAATTGTGGGTTCGATTACAGGCTCAAAATGGCCAGAAACAAATAACTTTCTTCTGAAACTCGTCAGTCTATTCTTGTTCTGAGAAATGGCCAAGAAACTGAAGATCTCGTACAACGCTGTGTACTACTCCCTTCACAGAACAGCGCAAACTGGCTCTAACCAGAATAGAAAGAGGAGTGGGAGGCCCCGGTGCACAACTGAGCAAGAGGACAAATACATTAGTGTCTAGTTTGAGAAACAGACGCCTCACAGGACCTCAACTGGCAGCTTCATTAAATAGTACCCACAAAACACCAGTCTCAACGTCAACAGTGAAGAGGCGACTCCGGGATGCTGAACGACTAGGCAGAGTTGCAAAGAAAAAGCCATATCTCAGACTGGCCAATAAAAATAAAAGATTAAGATGGGCAGTCTGAGATATGGCTTTTTCTTTGCAACTCTGCCTAGAAGGTCAGCATCCCGGAGTAGCCTCTTCACTGTTGACGTCTAGTGGAAAGCCTTCCCAGAACAGTGGAGGCTGTTATAGCAGCAAAGGGGGGGACCAACTCCATTTTATTGCCCATGATTTTGGAATGAGATGTTCGACGAGCAGGTGTCTACATACTTTTGGTCATGTAGTGTATATGCAGAAAGATATGTGGAGCTTGTATGCATGGAGTGTACTATATATCTGTTCTACAAGTAGACATTATTTAACTGTATGGTAGATTGTCCGGTGTGGCTCAATCGGTAGAGCATGGCGCTTGCAACGCCAAAGGTCATAGGTTCAATTCCAGCCAGAGCCATCCATACGTAAAAATGTATGCACGCATGACTGACTATAAGACGCTTTGGATAACAGTGTCTGCTAAGTGTCTGGCATATATTATTAGTCCTTACCCATCGTTGTTGTAGGAGGCCAGCACCACACTAGGACTGGAGTAGGCGTTGCTGGTGACCCATGTGCAGTGGACTGCGAACATCATGAGCAGCATCAACATCAGCATGGTCACTATGCTCTTGATGTTAGGGCCCAGCCCCTCCTCTGCCTTCTCCTGCTCAGACACATGCTTGCGCACCTTTCCTGCCTGCAGAGGGAGACAAATACACAACAAACTGGCCCACTAAACAGACAGTATCAGAGTTGCAATACAAAGAGTGAAATTTGACATTATTTTGTAACTCCTTACACGAATATGTCTATGGGTTGAATACAGGTAACTGCCAAAATAAAGGAAACACCAACATAAAGTGTCTTAATAGGGCGTTGGGCCACCATGAGCCAGAACAGCTTCAATGCACCTTGGCATAGATTCTACAAGTGTCTGGAACTCTATTGGAGGGATGCAACACCATTCTTCCATAAAAAATTACATTATTTGGTGTTTTATTGATGGTGGTGGAAAACGCGGTCTCAGGCACCGCTCCAGAATCTCAGATAAGTGTTGGGTTGAGATGTGGTGACAGACGGCAATGGTATATGGTTTACATAGTTTTCATGCTCATCAAACCCTTCAGTGACCACTCGTGTCCTGTGGATGGGGGCATTGTAATCCTATGGGGGCATAGCCATGGTAGCCAAAGTAATGGACAAAATAAATGCCTGCCAAGCATTTTTATACATGACCCTAAGCATGATGGGATGTTAATTAACTCAGGAACCCCACCTGTGTGGTAGCAACTGCTTTTAATGTACTTTGCATATCTCATTATTTTGGCAGTTACCTGTAGGTGTCAACTGGAATTAACGGCTAAGGGTTCACATTGCGAGAGCAGAGTACACTAGAGGTGTAAGAGTGGAATGCAATACCCCACTAAAGGTAGGCCTATGAGGTGAGGGCAGTTGGAGAATCTCAATTGGTTTTGCGCGACTCCTCACGTCCTCTCCTCGCCTGCTTTTGAAAAAGGTCCAAGGTAATCAGGTAGCGGAGCAAAGTGAGTAGAGGAAATGTGGAAACAAATTTGCTTGTATGACATGACACTCCTCTACCCACGCATCATCAGGCAAATTAGGTTTACAGGGGTGTAATCCCAAAATAAATGTGTAAAGTGATACAACTAATTTTGCTGGTTGTGAAAAACATTTGATAAATAAAAGGATAAATACCGTATTGTTTTTAAATGTGTGCATGCTTTTCTCCTTCCAGAAAACAGCTGATTAAAAGGGGTTGTAGCAGATTGTAAAACAGTTCGGAAGGGATACTTTGAAAAACCGATTGAGTGAAGTAGCAGCAAACAGTGTACAAAACATTAGGAACACCTTAATATTGCATTGCAACCCCTTTTGCCCGCAGAACAGCCTCAATTCGTTGGGGCATGGACTACAAGGTGTCGAAAGCGTTCCACTGGGATGCTGGCCCATGTTGACTACAATGCTTCCCACAGATGCGTAAAGTTTTTTTTTTCTTTAATATTGCAGCTTCCATCAATGTAATTGTCTGCATCATTTCCAATCCCCCATTTATATATTTTTGTAAATATACACATAAATATATCTTTAAATATATTTTCCTTTATTATGTTTCCCTAACCATACCACCCCTCCCCTAATTGGCCCGTCAGCAAGTCCCGGATCCAGTTGAAGAGGGAGGTGTTTAGTCCCATGGTCCTTAGCTTAGTGATGAGCTTTGTCTAAGTGCTGGTCCATGGTAGTATTGCCGCGTTCAAAACTGGGAACTCTGAAAAATACGAGGTCAAATCATGACGTCAGTGATCTTCAGGTCGGAAAGTCGGAGCTCCAGAAAGTGGCCTGAGTGCCCGAGTTGGAATTCAGAGTTGGATGACTGTTTAAATAAATTTTTCCCAGTCTGAGCTAGTTTTTTTTTCTGAATTCATAGTTGTTTTGAACGCACTGAAGTCAGAGATTTCCGAGTTCCAAGTGGTTTTGAACGCAGCATTAGAGTTGGGATTATGGTTCATTGTTTAGCTAGCTACGTCTAAACAAAAGACTCCACTATGGAAGTAACCATTTCGCTTTACCATTTACACCTTCTGTATCCTGTGCATGTGACAAATAAACATAGATTTTATGTGATCTAGTGTGCGTTTACCAGAGACAGTAATGTGAAGAACAACATGACCTGCACCAATGTCAGAATAGGATATAGGCCAAGGACTAGATAATGTATTTTTACTACTACTTTTTGCTACTATTTTCACCAATTTTAGTCTTGAAATCTTTGGTTGTTTACTACACTACCTTATTCACTCTGTTTAGCACATGGCCTCACATATGAAACCTTAAATAAATGGGTGAGGTTAAGGCTAAAGTGGGTGTGAATGATGCTGAATGGGTGTAGACAAAGAAGAGCTCTCCAGTAGGTGTATCAAAACATTCACGGGCCATTTTCTCAAAAGTGGCGTTACAAGTTTATCAACTTCCAAAGCAGAATTACTTTCCCATTGTTCCTCAACTGCAGTGTATGATATACCATTTTCTAGCTCTGGATAAAAGTAGAGACTCAATGTCAAAAACATTCTACATAGGACCGAATCCAGGTGGTGGGTCACATATTTAGCCATGGAGCATGTTCTGATTGGCCAGTGAGGTGTCAAGCATCAACACACCTACAACTTATTTATTCATCAAAACCCAGCCCTTTGGCACCACCGCCAGTACAGCGGCAATCATTCTTGGTTGTGAAAATAGCGAAATGATTTGACACAGCCCCGAACGTATAGCGCTACCGCCAGCACTTAGATTTACCATTGCGTTAGGTTTGTTAAACTAGAGCCCTCGAAGTGCTGACATATGATCAAAAAGGCTAAACTGATCATAACATAGACAGGGGGAACCTGATCCTTGATCTGCATTCCTACTCTGAGGTGCTTTATGAATAAGGGCCCTGGACTGTGACTCCTACTGACCTTGTCATAGAGGTTCCCTGAGCTCCTTTTGTCGTCCTCGTCGCTGCTGTCCTCTATGGGAGGGTTCTCCCTCTTCATGTCGTCCCCCAGGTAGTGCTCGAACACGCTGGAAAAGGCGATGGCCGACAGCATGCAAACCACCGGCGTCAAGGTCAGCATCAGGCGCACCATCACCCCGGCAAAGTAGACCGCGCTGATGGCATAGAGAGCCACTGGGGGGCGGCAGAGAGGCAGGATAGGTTAAAGGCAGGATAATTAATGTAAAAAGTGCATGGTGCACAACTCAGGTCCTCAAGGGTGTTTTTTTAATCTGAGAGAAACTGATTTAGAGCTGGGTGAACAGACGTGCAGGCTCTCGGGGCTATCAATGGCATTAATTGATCAATTAAGTGCAAGGGAAAAACAGAAACCAGCTGAAGCGTAGCCCCTCCTGCACTGGAGCTGTGTGAACCTGTTCTACATTTCCTCTTCCAGTACACCTTCTAGGAACAGGTTTGTACAGTATATCAATAACATGAGAATGTCCTCGCTATAATGCATATTCTTCTCAAATTACCCTACTCCCCACTAAATATTCAAATGATATGTGTATGTTGAGTGTCAGTGTGTTTTAACGAGCCCCGGCTTACCGAAGACACGCTCGTCGTTTACATTCTTGATGCAGAACCAGAGGCCTGCTGGGAAGGTGCAGACCAGGATGTGGAGGTCGAAAAAGAACGAAACCCAGGTGGTGGGCTGGTGCTCCGACACCGACGCGATGATGGGGATATGGATCTTAGCGTAGCTGGAGAGGGAGAGAGGGGGAAGGAAAGAGTGATAAGGATAGAAGAGACAAACATCTGGTACTTCAGGGAAGATGAAGATTCAAGAAACCGCCTCAAAGGGAATGTAAAGGGAGCGCTAAAGCGGTGCTGTCAGCAAACAAACCGATTGATCGATGCTTAATGCCGAAATCAGACACGCTGCAGTTTATGTACAGAATGTAGCCTAAGCGTGTTTGAGAAGAAAAAGACTACGCTCACATTTCCTTTGAAACTACAGATGGCGGAAGCCCTTTCGCAGAGACACATATTCAATTAAACAAGTGTTTCATCGATAGGAAAGTGTGAATTAAGGTTAGCAGTGCTTACCCGGTGTCCCACAGCGAGTAGAACCGCCCACTCCACGGAGCGATGTAACCTAAATGAACAAACAATCAATACACAGGACTGGGAACTTGAACACACTTTCATTAGTGGTTATTATGAGGACTTTTTGGCGTATGGTTGACACTGGTGTGTATGTGACAGCATAAGGTGGTATGGGTAGTGTACAGATATAATGACAAAGTGAATAGGGACCCTTTGGTGCAGGGCTTTTCAATTCTGGTCCTCAAGAGCCGAAACGCTTCAGGTTTTCACTGTTGCCCATTCTAACCAGGGACTTATTTCAACCTGGAACACTAGATGAGTGCAATTAACTATGAGGTACGAACAGCTTTAGCCCCCCAGGACAATAATTAAATAGCCCTGCTTTAGTGGGTCAGGTGTCTGTTCAGTAGTAGGGCATATGTGGGTCGGGACTCGAGAGGAATGTTGAACAGTGGAGGTTAGGAATATGTTATGTATAACTCGGTCACTCAGGAACATTCTTCTTTAGTCTTCTTGGTAAGCAACTCCAGTGTAGATTTGGCCTTGTGTTTTAGGTTAGTGTCCTGCTGAATAATGAATTAATCTCCCAGTGTCTGGTGGAAAGCAGACTGAACCAGGTTTTCCTCTAGGATCTTGCCTGCTCCATTCCATTAATTTTTTATCCTAAAAAACTCCCCTGTCCTTAACGATTACAAGCATACCCATAACATGATGCAGCCACCACTATTCTTGAAAGTATGGAGAGTGGTACTCAGCAATGTGTTGTATTTGCCCCAAACATAACATTTGTATTCAGGACAAAAAGTTAATTACTTTGCCACATTTTTTGCAGTATTACTTTATTGCCTTGTTGCAAACAGGATGCATGTTTTGGAATATTTGTATTCTGTACAGGCTTCCTTCTTTTCACTTTGTCAATTGGGTTAGTATTGTAACTACAATGTTGGTGATCCATCCTCAGTTTTCCTATCACAGCCATCAAACTCTAATTGTTTTAAAGTCACCATTGGCCTCATGGTGAAATCCCTGAGCAGTTTCCTTTCTCTCCGGCAAATGAGTTAGGAAGGACGCCTGTATCTTTGTAGTGACTGGGTGTATTGATACACCATCCAAAGTGTAATTAATAACTTCACCATGCTCAAAGGGATATTCACTGTCTGCTTTAAAAATAAATAAATACAAATATCTACCAATAGGTGCTCTTCTTTGTGAGGCATTGGAAAACCTCCCTGGTCAAGACATTTCAGCTTTTCATTTGTAAAAATGTCTAAAAACATAATTCCCCTTTGACATTATGGGGTATTGTGTGTAGGCCTGTGACAAAAACTCTAAATGTAATCCATTTTAAATTCAGGCTTTAACACAACAAAATGTGGAAAAAGTCAAGTGGTGTGAATACTTTCTGAAGGCACTGTATGTGTAATGGTAAGGTATAGTGACTCACCAGTGTAGGTGAGATAGATGACGGTGAGGAACACCACCCCAGCAGCTAGCGACACCCCCAGGAAGAACAAGGTCTGGAACTCCTGCTTGGTGAGCCTGTCCTTCAGGTACTGCAGCAATGCATATGCCTGGAGCAGCGCAAACACACCTGTGGCAGGACACACACAATCACAGAATGTTGGCGTATGCACGTTATTACAGCAACCTTAATCTCTCATGCAAGCAGGTTCATATACAAAACATTTCAAATCAGAAGGACTATCATTTGATGGTAGTATTACTATAGATGTGCTACACACTGATGCTGTAATAATACATGACAACATATTTGAATAACAGGAACAGTTTAGGCTAAATGGGATCTCTGTTCTGTTCTCTGATGTCCCGTCACTTCCGTCCCCTTAGCAAAACAGAGGAGCACTTCAGAGTTCCGAACCCCCGGGAGCATTCCAAGGTCATAACTCCTCCAGAACCGAGAGAGCGGGTGACACTAACGCCCATCACTCTGCTGGGCGCTGGCTGCCGCTGAAGACACGCCGCCAGATGTTACGAGCAGCTGCTGCCCGACGCCAAACACGCCCATCCTTTGAGAGAGCGGCGGGGCGTTCCTCAAAGCCCATGCCGCTGACGTGCTGTGCTGCCCTGGTCACCCCCATACCAAACGCTACATCAGAAATCAGACGCTACATCAGAAGCTACATTAGACTAAGAGGAACCTGAAATGGATGCTGTAGAGCTATGTAATCCAGTTATTAGGGATGTTGACAAATATACTTTTTTCTTAACGTTTAAAACAGAAGAAAAAAAATGTGGTTCTCTGTTAAAACGTTAAATATTCCACATTAATTCACAATGCAGCTGCTGACAGCAACGGTTTGGGTCTAACAATGAGTCCCTTTCAGATAGTTAATCATTGCACCTACTACCACCAATATCTTCTCATTTAACTTAGCAAAGTATTGCCATACAGGACTTCGCTGCTGTCGCTGGCCTTTCTCTGCCAATTTTCCAACTTAACGATGACGTAGTGGTGGAGAGTAGACTCCAAAATAATTGACTTCTCAACCCATTGCACGTAGCCTCTCGGGGTTGACTTCCATTTCTGAAAGTCAAAATTTGATTCTGCCAGACAGATTAGTTGCCGTACTTACGAGAACACAAACACTCGCATCTTTCATAGTGAGAGGGGAGTGGTACAGTATAGGTAGGTCGGACACCAGGCAGACAGAGTCAGAACCGTGCACTAGGCCTATCTATCGGTAATCAAAAGCTGTATCTCGCAATTGGAATGCTGTATCTTGCAATATCTTGGCTTGCAATGTCTCGCAACTTCAGTAAAGCAGGGCATATCATCAATGAATAGGCTAGGATATTCTACACGCAACAGACCGACAAATGAACACACACTCGCATCATTAGTGAATAGAAAGACCAGGCAAGTCAGTGAAAGGGAGAGAGAGGTAGGCAGAAAGAACCGTGCGTCTTAGTAATCCATCTCGCAATGTCTTGTCTTTCATGCCATGCAAAGTCCACCTCTTTCTCTCAGGTTTTATTTAAATTACACAACTTTACCCAGGTTTTTATAGCCTATTGTCTAGTTAGACTATAACACAGCAAATAATATGTTTTGTGATAACTGCACTGTGATCTACATTTCCTTAAAAAAAAAAAAGACGTTTTTCGTTTGGGGATTTTTTCTTAACTTTAATGAATCCAATTTAGTTTTACTGTTCAAACGTTCACACCCCTAGCTGTTACTACCCTCCAGAATAAATGAATACAACCTAAATGCTGTCTGGGAGTAGCTGGGACCGTTGGCGAGATGGGAACACTTAGGTTGCATCAACAAAATGGTAAAAAGGCACTGCCAATACAAGAGAACTGCTTGGTCATGGTCTAAGGTCTCTGTTGAAAAATAGATTTTTATCTCAACGAGACATACCTGGTTAATTGAAAAAGCGGTGTGCGTCTCATGGTGAGTTGTTTCGTGTGCTCAGGAGACAAAAAAAGAGGTTACCTGCTGCCGCCATGTGCTCGCTGGTTCTGATTGGCTGGAAGCCCACAAACGGGATCTGCATGGACAGCACCAGGCCCATGATGTAGAAAGTGCTGTAAGCTGAGGGAGAAAGAGAGAAACAGACAAAGGGATAGAAAGAGAGAGAGATGAGATCAAACAAACAGGTCAAACACACATACTGTTCTATTCAAAAACCCACCATCACTTCAGTTAGAGGTATTTCATGTGAATTGATTTTCTCAATGCAACTTCTGAGAGGGAGTAAATACAATAACGTCTTATCTGGAGTAATTTACATAGATGTGGGCAAAGAAAAGCGCAGTGGGGGACCTAACATGAGCCGGCAGTAGAACTCCCACCTTTGTAGCTCGGGGGAGCTGATTCTAAAGGAGTGTGCCCTAATTAAGATTTCATCCTTTCCTGAACACTGGGGCTTTTTGAAGTGGCTGTGACTAGCCCTGAGCACTCCCGACTATGATTCATTATCGCCTGTTGACTGATGGAGCTAAGAAATGACCTGTGTGAAATAGAACTGCATTTTTGTTCAAGAGGGACTCTCATTGTGGCAAGCTCCGATGCCAAAGAGGCATCTAGTTTTTAGAAGTGCTTTCTTTATGGTAGATGAAGGAGAAAGGTTAAAACTAGATCAAAACGAGATGGTTATGAAACACTTTAAGGAGCAAGACCTTGCACAAGATGGTTGCTTGAATAACTATGCAAAGTCCTCTTCTATTAAAGGGTGCTTGAGGTTGACATCCTCTGCGTTCGAAGCAATAAATATTTCAGAACAATGCAAAAATATTCCACATTAACAAATGGTTCTTGTCGAAGGGTGGAATTCTTTGTTGGGGAAAATGCAGAGAGATTGAGTACAGCGGGGTCGAGGCCCTCTTTTTAACTAGAGTCGTCATTTATTTTCAAAGGCCCAAGAATGGGGTACTGTTTACTGTGAGCAATACGGACAATCAAGAGTAACTGATGCTAGACCATTTATCTTGACCCAGCTAGCCTGCTGTTCCTTCAGCTCAGATAAATATGTACTGCTTACGACGCTGCAGCATATATGCAATGTTCTGTCTGACAAGTGATGTGTTCTGTTCTGTACGCCTCAAGGACAGAAATAAGTCTGGTTCTTAGACCATTGGTTTACTCAGCAATTTACAGGAAGATATTCGCAGTTGAATTCAGAATAATTAAACTCATTCAGGAGAGCAAACAAGTGTTAGTGGTTAGAGGAAACAAGTGCGTGCGGTCACATCTCTTTAGCAGATAGAGAAGGTTTGCGGTCACATATTCATGTGTTGCATGTTTCATCACAATATTGTTTTGAACGTTCGTTTTGGACTGATGCCCAACTGAGCATTCTACTCAATGCATCGTCAATGAGCACTGATGAAGATTTCATCAAAATGCATTATAGTAGCTTGGATTATAGTGGCTTGGAAATACAATGCCATTCAAAAGGAGGCAAATACTTAGTAGGAAAACCTTTTGATGTCGCCAGATTGACTTTAGATCTAGTATAACGTTAGCTAAGATTGAGGGAAGGACACCGGACGTTAGCTAGCTAGTTTGACAAACTTTACTAGCCAATGACAGCATTGCCATCTGTCTAAAGTAAATTTGACGACATGATAATGCTGGCAAAGTTCTTTCCTACTAAACATTTGACTACTTTGGCAATGTTATCGTATTTCCAGGCACTATAGTGTAATTTAGACTAAACAGTAGTTAGCCTCCCTCCAGAATGACTGGGCTTCTCACCACTTTAGGGCACCACTATGGCGCCGCCGATAGAGGGCGGCTTGAGAACGTTCATAACAATGGCATGATGTGACCGAGTGACGGAGGTGCAACCTATGAATAGAGGGGGCTGATGGTCAGATCTCTTTAGCAGATTAAAGTGTTTGTGGTCACTCACCGATATAGACCCTCCTGCTGTAGCGCTGCATGAGCAGCAGCACAAACACATGCAGAGGGATCAGGTTGATGATGAAGACATATCCTCCCCATGCTGACACCTGCAACACAAACACACAGCCATCAGTAAAACAGACACCTGCAACAGGAATACATGGAAATATGCAGTGGCCCCATATAAAACCAATTCAATCATATTTAACACTGTATGACTGAAGTAAAATGCTTCAACTTTTAAAGCGCCTTGAAATTATGCAGCAACATTGTCTCAGACACGCAGCGTGAAATGAGAGGGGCTTATAAAATACTCTACAAAAACATCAGCTGCAGTACTTCAAACGGCTCCATTGAAAATCACACTGTGTAGGGTGTACAGAGCACAGAGGACAGCCTGTTTAGGACAGCCTTTTGGGATAAATGCTCACACTCTCACAGACACAAACCTGCTTAGCCACACAATCACACACTGCATTCACAAATCACTCATCTATGGTTAAAATATGTTTCGCAATTACCCCTAATTGCGAAAAACAGAAAAGTCACACTAGAAGGAGATAAATCCCCTCAATAAGTTCCTTCTGGCGTGGTTAAGTGTAATTACCTTTTCACAGCCATTTGTATCTTTAGCTTTAGCTTCAGATGGTGTGAGCTAATTAGGTACAGCTGAACCGTAACTTGAATGAATACAGAGACGACTTCTATTTTTTTTTGACACAGCGGTTCACTGAGAGAAGAGGTTGCTAATTGAAAACACCCGTCCAGAGGAACTGCTGGGGGGTGACAGTGAGGAGAGGAGAAAGTGAGGCCAGTGTCTCGCTCTGAGGGTCGCATCCCGCAGCCTCCCGGACGTAATTCGAGCGTAATTTGACCAAACATCTCACAAATCTACTGCTAATGACTTCGCCGATGTGTGTGTGTATATGTGTGTGTTGTTTGAGAAAAAGAAGCTTGTGTATGAGAGACACATTTTTTTTTTTTTTACATCACTTCCCCCCATGGTTTTGAGGGTCGAATAAGCAGGCAGCAATCTTCTGGAGGCTGAGATTCTTTGAGGAGAGTACAGTCCAAATTGCTGAACCACCAAGCACAAAATATCTTGTTTACCACCAAAAAAGTCTGCTAAGAGACAGCGAGGTAGCTGAAAGAGCTGGTGCAGACACGATCAATATTCCTGTAAGAGTAAACAATGCATTTATCGATATAGCGCAGTCCTACATCAAGAAACCAACAAAACCGATGTTTTCACTGAAAACTTATCACACTTCCCTTGAGAAAAACCTCGATCGAAACAATGTTTTTCCTGGTCAGGCCGCTAGGCATCCTGCTTGATGTATTTAAATAAATCCACCTCTTACTCTGGATATAGTCAAGAATATATCCTTCTGGCAACAGCAACTATCAGGAATGTTATAAGCTGGAGATGGAGAGTATGAAAAATGTATGCACTCACTAAAACTCTGGATAAGAGCGTCTGCTAAATGACTAAAATGTAAAATGAGATAATGTAGTTAGTAGATTCCCTGATTAGATAAGACACATCCTCATAATATCACTTGGGGGTATTGAAACATCCGAGTGACATCCCTGTAAGGCTTTCATGCCATGTTGTGCCAGTAGTTCTATGAGAAGAGCAGTTGTCCTTGGAGAAGCTTCCCTTACAATACAATGAGGAAGAATAACTGGTTCAGTATGTTACAATACAACCAGGTGGACGAGCAGTTTCTGTATGTTACAATACAACCAGGTGGACGAGCAGTTTCTGTATGTTACAATACAACCAGGTGGACGAGCAGTTTCTGTATGTTACAATACAACCAGGTGGATGAGCAGTTTCTGTATGTTACAATACAACCAGGTGGACGAGCAGTTTCTGTATGTTACAATACAACCAGGTGGACGAGCAGTTTCTGTATGTTACAATACAACCAGGTGGACGAGCAGTTTCTGTATGTTACAATGAGGAGGAAGGGCTGTTACACGATGTTAGGGCTTCCAATGGGCACAATGCTAATCTGTTAGTGTGTGCACCTCAGCATTTGGCCCCGTGACCCTAATGGACAGGTCTTACTGCAGTCAGCAAAGAACCAGACACCATTAGAGCCTAGACTTTAACCATTATCTTTACCCACACTCTACTTCGCTTATCTAGCCACCCAGGGCCACTATGAAGAAGCATAGGGAGATGGATGGTATTGTAGTGGTAAAAGGGGGTAGGGGTCTTGCTACAGGGCTAGATTGGCTCAGAAGGGGGCTAAAGAGGCTCAGGCACCTTTGTGGGGGGTAGGATGCTGAAAACAGAATAACCGGAGATGCTGTTGGTCACCTACGGGGGTATCAGATGGCATGAGAAAGGTCTTTGTGGGAGAAAGTTGTTTTGATGAAAGTCAGGTGGGGCCTGGGGAGGTAGGTGAACCACTGCGTCACTGCAAAGCTCTGGCTCTGCATCGATTTTTCCACTGTAAAAAGGGCCTCAAGAGTTGTGATTATTGCTTGACTTCTAATAATAACCTCCAGCAAGCGGCACATCTTACAAACAATCACCTGAAGAGCTGAGTTGTGGTGCTGAGAACATCTCATAAATACTTTACGAGGGAAAAGAACTTGGGGGCGGGTGAAGGGGGGTGCTGTCACGGTAGGAGTGCGCTGTCACAGGAACTTAGGGAATACAAGATCTCTCCCAGGAGACGGTAGATAGAATGTCACGCATCTCACGGTAGGGGTTTTCACAGTTCTTGTCCATCATGACATCTCAACTGAGTTTCTTCTCTCCCTCCCACGGGCTGATTATGACAGAGCTGAGCACGGAATCTCTCACTGGCCATTGCAGATGTGCCATGTTCGATTAAGCCTCATTGGTGAGTATCAATCAATCAATCAATTTTATTTTATATAGCCCTTCTTACATCAGCTAATATCTCGAAGTGCTGTACAGAAACCCAGCCTAAAACCCCAAACAGCTAGTAATGCAGGTGTAGAAGCACGGTGGCTAGGAAAAACTCCCTAGAAAGGCAAAACCTAGGAAGAAACCTAGAGAGGAACCAGGCTATGAGGGGTGGCCAGTCCTCTTCTGGCTGTGCCGGGTGGAGATTATAACAGAACCATGCCAAGATGTTCAAAAATGTTCATAAGTGACAAGCATGGTCAAATAATAATCAGGAATAAATCTCAGTTGGCTTTTCATAGCCGATCATTAGAGTTTAAAACAGCAGGTCTGGGACAGGTAGGGGTTCCATAACCGCAGGCAGAACAGTTTAAACTGGAATAGCAGCAAGGCCAGGCGGACTGGGGACAGCAAGGAGTCACCACGGCCGGTAGTCCCGACGTATGGTCCTAGGGCTCAGGTCTCTCAGTTGGCTTTTCATAGCCGATCATTTAGAGTTGAAAACAGCAGGTCTGGGACAGGTAGGGGTTTCGTAGCCGCAGGCAGAACAGTTGAAACTGGAATAGCAGCAAGGCCAGGCGGACTGGGGACAGCAGGGTGTCATCATGCCCGGTAGTCCTGACGTATGGTCCTAGGGCTCAGGTTCTCAGAGAGAAAGAGAGAACGAGAGAATTAGAGAGAGCATACTTAAATTCACACAGGACACTGGATAAGACAGGAGAAGTACTCCAGGTATAACCAACTAACCCCAGCCCCCCGACACATAAACTACTGCAGCATAAATACTGGAGGCTGAGACAGGAGCGGTCCGGAGACACTGTGGCCCCATCCGAAGAAACCCCCGGACAGGGCCAAACAGGAAGGATATAACCCCACCCACTCCGCCAAAGCACAGCCCCCGCACCACTAGAGGGAAATCCCCAACCACCAACTTACAATCCTGAGACAAGGCCGAGTATAGCCCACAGAGGTCTCCACCACAGCACAAACCAAGGGGGGGGCGCCAACCCAGACAGGAAGATCACGTCAGTAACTCAACCCACTCAAGTGACGCACCCCTCCCAGGGACGGCATGAAAGAGCACCAGCAGGCCAGTGACTCAGCCCCTGCAACAGGGTTAGAGGCAGAGAACCCCAGTGGAGAGGGGAACCGGCCCGGCAGAGACAGCAAGGGCTGTTCGTTGCTCCAGCCTTTCCGTTCACCTTCACACTCCTGGGCCAGACTACACTCAATCATATGACCTACTGAAGAGATAAGTCTTCAGTAAAGACTTAAAGGTTGAGACCGAGTCTGCGTCTCTCACATGGGTTGGCAGACTGTTCCATAAAAATGGAGATCTATAGGAGAAAGCCCTGCCTCCCGCTGTTTGCTTAGAAATTCTAGGGACAATTAGGAGGCCTGCGTCTTGTGACCGTAGCGTACGTATTGGTATGTACGGCAGGACCAACTCGGAAAGATAGGTAGGAGCAAGCCCATGTAACGCTTTATAGGTTAACAGTAAAACCTTGAAATCAGCCCTTGCCTTAACAGGAAGCCAGTGTAGGGAAGCTAGCACTGGAGTAATATGATCAAATTTCTTGGTTCTAGTCAGGATTCTAGCAGCCGTATTTAGCACTAACTGAAGTTTATTTAGTGCTTTATCCGGGTAGCCGGAAAATAGAGCATTGCAGTAGTCTAATCTAGAAGTAACAAATGCATGGATTAATTTTTCTGCATCATTTTTGGACAGAAAATTTCTGATTTTTGCAATGTTACGTAGATGGAAAAAAGCTGTCCTTGAAACAGTCTTGATATGTTCGTCAAAAGAGAGATCAGGGTCAAGAGTAACGCCTAGGTCCTTCACAGTTTTATTTGAGACGACTTTACAACCATCAAGATGAATTGTCAGATTTAACAGAAGATCTCTTTGTTTCTTGGGACCTAGAACAAGCATCTCTGTTTTGTCCGAGTTTAAAAGTAAAAAGTTTTCAGCCATCCACTTCCTTATGTCTGAAACACAGGCTTCTAGCGAGGGCAATTTTGGGGCTTCACCATGCTTCATTGAAATGTACAGCTGTGTGTCATCCGCATAGCAGTGAAAGTTAACATTATGTTTTCGAATAACATCCCCAAGAGGTAAAATATATAGTGAAAACAATAGTGGTCCTAAAACGGAACCTTGAGGAACACCGAAATGTACAGTTGATTTGTCGGAGGACAGACCATTCACAGAGACAAACTGATATCTTTCCGACAGGTAGGATCTAAACCAGGCCAGAACTTGTCCGTGTAGACCAATTTGGGTTTCCAGTCTCTCCAAAAGAATGTGGTGATCGATGGTGTCAAAGGCAGCACTAAGGTCTAGTAGCACGAGGACAGATGCAGAGCCTCGGTCTGACGCCATTAAAAGGTCATTTACCACCTTCACAAGTGCAGTCTCAGTGCTATGATGGGGTCTAAAACCAGACTGAAGCATTTCGTATACATTGTTTGTCTTCAGAAAGGCAGTGAGTTGCTGCGCAACAGCTTTTTCTAAAATTTTTGAGAGGAATGGAAGATTCGATATAGGCCGATAGTTTTTTATATTTTCCGGGTCAAGGTTTGGCTTTTTCAAGAGAGGCTTTATCACTGCCACTTTTAGTGAGTTTGGTACACATCCGGTGGATAGAGAGCTGTTTATTATGTTCAACATAGGAGGGCCAAGCACAGGAAGCAGCTCCTTCAGCAGTTTAGTAGGAATAGGATCCAATATGCAGCTTGAAGGTTTAGAGGCCATGATTATTTTCATCATTGTGTCAAGAGATATAGTACTAAAACACTTAAGTGTCTCTCCCGATCCCAGGCCCTCGCAGAGCTGTGCAGATCCAGGACAGCTAAGCCCTGGAGGAATACGCAGATTCAAAGAGGAGTCCGTAATTTGCTTTCTAATGGTCATGATCTTTTCCTCAAAGAAGTTCATGAATTTATCACTGCTGAAGTGAAAACCATCCTCTCTTGGGGAATGCTGCTTTTTAGTTAGCTTTGCAACAGTATCAAAAAGAAATTTTGGATTGTTCTTATTTTCCTCGATTAATTTGGAAAAGTAGGATGATCGAGCAGCAGTGAGGGCTCTTCGGTACTGCACGGTACTGTCTTTCCAAGCTAGTCGGAAGACTTCCAGTTTGGTGTGGCGCCATTTCCGTTCCAATTTCCTGGAAGCTTGCTTCAAAGCTCGGGTATTTTCTGTATACCAGGGAGCTAGTTTCTTATGACAAATGTTTTTCGTTTTTAGGGGTGCAACTGCATCTAGGGTATTGCGCAAGGTTAAATTGAGTTCCTCAGTTAAGTGGTTAACTGATTTTTGTCCTCTGACGTCCTTGGGTAGGCAGAAGGAGTCTGGAAGGGCATCAATGAATTTTTGTGTTGTCTGAGAATTTATAGCACAACTTTTGATGCTCCTTGGTTGGGGTCTGAGCAGATTATTTGTTGCGATTGCAAACGTAATAAAATGGTGGTCCGATAGTCCAGGATTTTGTGGAAAAACATTAAGATCTACAACATTTATTCCATGGGACAAAACTAGGTCCAGAGTATGACTGTGGCAGTGAGTAGGTCCAGAGACATGTTGGACAAAACCCACTGAGTCGATAATGGCTCCGAAGGACTTTTGGAGTGGGTCTGTGGACTTCTCCATGTGAATATTAAAATCACCAAAAATTAGAATATGATCTGCTATGACTACAAGGTCTGATAGGAATTCAGGAAACTCAGAGAGGAACGCTGTATATGGCCCAGGAGGCCTGTAAACAGTAGCTATAAAAAGTGATTGAGTAGGCTGCATAGATTTCATGACTAGAAGCTCGAAAGATGAAAACGTCATTTTTTTTTTTGTAAATTGAAATTTGCTATCGTAAATGTTAGCAACACCTCCGCCTTTGCGGGATGCACGGGGAATATGGTCACTAGTGTAACCAGGAGGTGAGGCCTCATTTAACACAGCAAATTCATCAGGCTTAAGCCATGTTTCAGTCAGGCCAATCACATCAAGATTATGATCAGTGATTAGTTCATTGACTATGACTGCCTTTGAAGTGAGGGATCTAACATTAAGTAACCCTATTTTGAGATGTGAGGTATCACGATCTCTTTCAATAATGGCAGGAATGGAGGAGGTCTTTATCCTAATAAGATTGCTAGGGTGAACACCACCATGTTTAGTTTTGCCCAACCTAGGTCGAGGCACAGACACAGTCTCAATGGGTATGGCTGAGCTGACTACACTGACTATGCTATTGGCAGACTCCACTAAGCTGGCAGGTTGGCTAACAGCCTGCTGCCTGGCCTGCACCCTATTTCACTGTGGGGCTAGAGGAGTTAGAGCCCTATCTATGTTGGTAGATAAGAGGAGAGCACCCCTCCAGCTAGGATGGAGTCCGTCACTCCTCAGCAGGTCAGGCTTGATCCTGTTTGTGGGTGAGTCCCAGAAAGAGGGCCAATTATCCACAAATGTTATCTTTTGGGAGGGGCAGAAAACAGTTTTCAACCAGCGATTAAGTGCTGAGACTCTGCTGTAGAGCTCGTCACTTCCCCTAACTGGGAGGGGGCCAGAGACAATTACTCGATGCCGACACATCTTTCTAGCTGATTTACACGCTGAAGCTATGTTGCACTTGGTGACCTCTGACTGTTTCATCCTAACATCGTTGGTGCCGACGTGGATAACAATATCTCTATACTCTCTACACTCGCCAGTTTTAGCTTTAGCCAGCACCATCTTTAGATTAGCCTTAACGTCGGTAGCCCTGCCCCCTGGTAAACAGTGTATGATCGCTGGGTGATTCGTTTTAAGTCTAATACTGCGGGTAATGGAGTCGCCAATGACTAGGGTTTTCAATTTGTCAGAGCTAATGGTGGGAGCCTTCGGCGTCTCAGACCCCGTAACGGGAGGAGTAGAGACTAGAGAAGACTCAGACTCAGACTCCGACTCGCTACATAATGGGGAAAACCGGTTGAAGGTTTCTGTCGGCTGAATGAGCGACACCGGTTGAGCATTCCAACAGTATTTCCCTCCAGAAGCCATGAGAAAGTTGTCCGGCTGCGGGGACTGTGCGGGGGGATTTATACTAACGTTACTGTCTGTACTTACTGGTGGCACAGACGCTGTTTCTTCCTTTCCTACACTGATATTACTCTTGCCTAACGATTGCGTCTGAAGCTGGGCTTGTAGCACAGCTATTCTCGCCGTAAGGCGAGAATTCTCCTGTATATTATGAGTACAGCGACTGCAATTAGAAGACATCATGTTAATGTTACTACTTAGCTTCGGCTGTTGAAGATGTTGATGAACCATGTCCAGATAAAGCGTCCGGAGTGAAAAAGTTGAATAAGGGAAAAAAGTTGCGATGGAAAATAACGTAAAGTTGGCAGCTAAAACGCACAGGAAAATGACTCTTCTGTCTCGGGATAAACGTCCGGGGTGAAAAAGTTTAACGAAAAAAGATGAGTGAGGACAAAACTAAAAAGTTGGTAAATTTGTTGAACACAAAGATTGATTAAACGTTTATTAAAAGTAAAACGTGAATAGTTTGGCAGGTAGCCAAGTAGCAACAAACAGCACAGCAGTACGGAGACAATGCGGAAGCGAGGGACTTGGTCTTGTTGTGTGGGCCAATACAATATCCTTAATCAACAGAGAGATGGGAAGAAGCGGTGGAGGGGTAGATATTGCAGCATGGAGGGCTGCAACTGCAAGTCACTCCCACTAGAGTGTCGCGAGAGAGTGACAAGGGAGATACGGGCTTGTCGTGTTGCCAACAAACCCTGCAACAGGAGAGGCATCAGTCAGACATCAGACTACAGAAGGATGTTAGTGGGAGGATGGGTAGAGCGGGGTTGTGATTAGAGGGAGTACAGCTATGACCGGAAGTGACTTATTGTAGCAAGTTAGGAGAGCATTTTAGCTAACAGTAACCCTAACCCTTTTCTGGACCTAAGTGTCCTAACCTGCCACGTTAATTATCCTAACCTGCTGCGTAAGCTCGCCTAACCTGCTATGAAAAAGTAACTTCCGATCGTAGCTGTACTCACTAGTCAGAACCGTAGAGCGGGGAAGGCCAAAATATTCTCACACTCTGGATCCCTGAGGAGTGAGAGAGTGAGACATACAGAATGAGAGAGGGGCTTATAAAGTTGCCGTGGTTTCTCAGTAGAAAATCTCCCTGCTCTCCCTTCTCTTCAAATGTGGTCATTAGAGGCTTTCCCCTTCTCTCTTCCTGCAGGAGCTTGGAATCGAAGGAATCAATGGGAGCTGGATCTCTCTAATGCGTTTCATTTGACATCTGTCGCTTCCCGGGCTGAGGGGAGATTTAACTGTGAAGGAGCTGGAAGCAGATCTTTGCAGGCGCTCAACATCAACAATCGTACACAGAGCGCTCGGAGGCAGTCGGATCTGTTAATATTTTATCTTATCTCTCCATCGACCCCGACAGGTCGGGGGGGATTCATAAATAACATTTAACGCGCCAGTACAGACTCCTTTTTCACGCCACTTTTGATGTCTGCGACTGCTCTCAACTATGCCATCTCGGGGCTATCTTAATGTAATCATGACTTCCAATTCCCATAGATGGAATGCTACATCGGTGGAAATCAATGACACTGTTTTTCCGGCCAATAACTAAGGCTCTTTGACACTCACCATGTAGAAGTAGGAGAGGCAGCAGCCAATGGACCAGAACACCGAACCGGTCTTGATCGACTTCACCTATGAGGGGGAGAACAGTCACAACAAAGGGTTAAGGACCAGTAAACTGATTCTGTCAAACATATCATCCAGGACAACAAAGTTAATAGCACTTTCTAACTCCCACAGTATGCTGTAACTAACATAGCCTACATTCACTTGATGGAACAGTGGAAAAGTGTTAGTGAAACACCATATAATCCCAGTGAAACCAAACAGTTGTTTCATTAACAGTCTTAATTACAGCTCCTAAACAGATGAGGGGGCACCAGAGACTGTATATGGGGGGAATCCGGCTGTGTAGAGAGATGCACTGAATACAACGGGTGTAAACTCTACCGTGAAATTCTTACTTACTAGCCCCTGCCAACGGTGCAGATATTTTCTCCCCAAAATAATACAAATAGTAACAAGAGGGAGTACCAGTACCATATCACTGTGCATGGGTATGAGGTATTTGAGGTAGATACACTACATGACCAAGAGTATGTGGACACCTGCTCGTCGAACGTCTCATTCCAAAATCATGGGCATTAATATAGAGCTGGTCCCTCCTTTGCTGCTATAACAGCCTCCACTCTTCTGGGAAGGCATTCCACTAGATGTTGGAACATTGCTGCGGGGACTTCCTTCCATTCAGCTACAAGAGCATTAGTGAGGTCAGGCACTGATGTTGGGCGATTAGGCCTGGCTCGAAGTCGGAGTTCCAATTCATCCCAAAGGTGTTCGATGGGTTGGAGGTCAGTGCTCTGTGCAGGCCAGTCAAGTTCTTCCACACTGATCTCGACAAACCATTTCTGTATGGACCTCGCTTTGTGCACGGGGGCATTGTCATGCTGAAACAGGAAAGGGCCTTCCCTAAACTGTTGCCACAAAGTTGGAAGCATAGAATCATCTAGAATGACATTGTACGATGTAGCGTTAAGATTCCCTTCACTGGAACTAAGGGGCCTAGCCCGAACCATGAAAAACACTCCCAGACCATTTTTCCCTTCCACAAAACTTTACAGTTGGCACTACGCATTGGGGCAGGTAGCGTTCTCCTGGCATCCACCAAACCCAGATTTGTCCGTCGGACTGCCAGATGGTGAAGCGTGACTCATCACTCCAGAGAACCTGGTTCCACTGCTCCAGAGTCCAATGGTGGTGAGCTTTACACCACTCCAGCAGACGCTTGGCATTGCGCATGGTGATCTTAGGCTTGTGTGCGGCTGCTCGGCCATGGAAACCCATTTCATGAAGCTCCCGACGAACAGTTCTTGTGCTGATGTTGCTTCCAGAGACAGTTTGGAACTCTGTAGTGAGTGTTGCAACCGAGGACAGACATTTTTTACGCACTACAGCACACGGCAGTCCCGTTCTGTGAGCTTGTGTGGCCTTCCACTTCGCGGCTGAGCCGTTGTCGCTCCTAGACGTTTCCACTTCACAATAACAGCACTTACAGTTGACCGGGGCAGCTCTAGCAGGGCAGAAATCTGACGGACTGACTTGTTGGAAAGGTGGCATCCTATGACAATGCCACGTTGAAAGTCACAGCTCTTCAGTAAGGCCATTCTACAGCCAATGTTTGTCTATGGAGATTGCATGGCTGTGCGCTCAATTTTATACACCTGTCAGCAACGAGTGTGGCTGAAATAGCCGAATCCACTAACTTGAAGGGTTGTCCACATACTTTTGTATATATGGTGTATGTACATAAAAGCAGGGTAAAGTGACTAGGCATCAGGATAGATACAGCAAAATACAGAACAGAGTAGCAGCAGCATATGACGAGTGTGAAAGTGTGTGTATGTGCGTATGACGTCTATGCGTATGCGTGGGTTTGTGTGAGTGTAGTGCATATATAGTCTCTTGAGTGTGCATAGAGTCGGTGCAAGATAGAGTCATTGCAGATAGTCCGGGTAACCATTTAATTAACTATTTAGCAGTCTTATGGCTCGGGGGGGGTAGAAGCCGTCTCAGAGCCGTTTGGTCCGAGAGTCGAAGCTCCAGTACCGTTTGCCGGACAGTAGCAGTTTAAGGGCGGTTTAAGTCCTGTAGAGGTCCTGGATAGCAGGGAGCTCAGCCCCAGTGATGTACTGGGCCGTCCGCACGACCCTCTGTAACGCTTTGCGGTTGAGGGCGGTGCATTTGCCATACCAAGCAGTGATGCAACCAGTCAAGATGCTCTCGATAGTGCAGCTGTAGAACGTTTTGAAGATCGAGGGCCCATGCCAAATCTTTTCAGCCTCCTGAGGGGGTCGAATCTCTCGACCTCTTCCACTACAGCCCTGTAGATGTGGATGGGGGCATGCTCTCTCATTTTTCCAGTAGTCCACAATCAGCTCCTTGGTCTTACTGATGTTGAGGGAGAGGCTGTTGTCCTGGCACCACACTGCCATGTCTCTGATCTCCTCCCTGTGAAGTGCTATTGACATTGCGTCATCTGTGGATCTGTTGGGGCGATATGCGAATTGGAGTGGGTCTAGGGTGTCTGGGATGATGGTGTTGATGTGTGTCATGACCAGACTTTCAAAGCATTTCATAATTACAGATGTGAGTGCTACGGTACGATAGTCATTTAGGAAGGTTGCCTTGGAGTTCTTCGGAACAGTGACAATAGTGGTCAGCTTGAAACATGTTGGTATTACAGACTGGGACAAGGAGAGATTGAAAATGAACATTTACATAATTTAGCAGACGTCTGAAGACACTTGCCAGCTGGTCTGCACATGCTATGAGAATGCGCCCTGGTACGCGTCTGGCCCAGCGGCCTTGCTAGTGTTAAAAGAGAGGGCTGCCTGGCATTTTAGTCTGCTCCTGACACTAGCTTGGACTGCCGGTTACCTGGTCTCACCCCACAGCCTGAGTCAACACATTAAAGGGACCATGTCTGAAAGACTACTGTGGGAAAGTGATGGCAGGGAGCAGGACAGGCAGCGGCAGGAGCACAGACTTCTTTATCGAACGTCGTCTGAGGTACACATCAGTCACACTTCACTTGATCTGCTGATGAGGATTGATTGATCAGCGGTGGAAAGCAGGCCTGGTCCAAATACCCACCAGAGCCTCAGCCAAGCAGCGAAAACCTCTACAGTCCCATCTATTTTAACCCTAAATGGTTTCCATGTCATGCTCGTTCCCTCCGATGAGGGCTCACCGAAGCGGCGCTCTGGTTTTGACACGAGTGAAACTACACAATTCCTCACAGGTAATACTGAGGGAGCTGACAAAGATGTAGGCCACTGCGGAACACCAGAAGCCTATAGCTTTCCCAGTGCCAATTAAAAGGGAGCTAGCCTACAATCTACCAGGGCTCGAGACTACTATGCAGAGCATGTGCACGGTCATGTTCAAATACGTCTCTCTCTACTCCCCACACACACACAGCGATACGAGCAGGGCTAATTAAATGTGAGCCTAGAGAAACTGTGGAATTAGTGGGACAACAATGGAAGCACGGTGGAGAGGCGGGGTAGCGGGGAGTGCTAGTGTTAAAAAGGGCAGCTCTCTGGGGTGCGAGAGGATTCAATTATAGATTAGGGAGGGGATGAGGTGGGGCCGACCCAGGAAGATTAAGCAGCTGGAGTTGAATGGGTTATTAGCAGATAAAATGAAGAAGACGGATCATGAAGACTGGGGAGAAGAAGCCTGGGAGAGGTTCCCGTTTTAGCATGTGAGGGAAGGGCTAGAGAATGAGAGAGAAAGAGAGCAGAAGAGGGGGAAGTGTTGAGACAAACGTGGGTAAATGAGACTGATAATGAAAAGCAGTGACACGTAGCCGGCATAATAGTCTTTTCGGGGCTCTCGCCAAATGGAACGACGACAGTGTGAAAGTTTTTTTTCCACCGATGGCGCCGCTTCACTAATGACGCGCCACTTAAGGAGGTGATGATGAGCACTGGCGGGGGACACCTGTGTCACCTGGAACACGCATTGTCTGCATTCCAAATCATGGCACCCAATTCCCTATATAGTGCGCTACTTTTGCCCAGGACCCATTGGGCTCTGGTTAACAGGGGTGCACTTTATAGGAAGTTTGATGCCATTTGGTACGCCCTCGTTGTGTTGGTTCGTTCTAAGACAGGCATAATCTATGTGGAATGACAATAAAAAGCTCTTATGAAGCTGCAGATGCAACAGCTGCTCCTCTGACTAAACCAAATATTGAAATGATACGTATCAAATCATTGTGAAATGATCATGACAGAGAAGGCGGCTTATCACAAGGAAAACACATTTATCACAATCAGACACTGCAGGTTCCTAAGTAATCATAACAGAGAATGTCCCTGGTAGCGTTTTAGCGGTACTCGAGTAAATGCATAATGCACCACATCGAGCAAATTACACATTGGCTGTCTGCGTTTCAGGTCACAACAGTGGTGGAGTGTAGATGGTGGAGGCCCCCTGGGTCTGGAGCCAGTCACGGCTCTGACATTAACACTCATAATGTGGGAGGTTCTCTGCGACACTCTGGGCGGGAGGTTAAACGCTCTTTCACACAACTCCGGCAGCTCCAGGGTGTGTGTGTGTGTGTTTGTGTGCGGCTAGTTGATGAACGCAGAGGCTCTTCAAACCAAGTGGCGTTATCAGCTCAGTCACACTTGCCTGAGTTAACATGACACAGAGCACTCCATACACAAGAACCCTGATATGGGTTTTCAAGCTGTGGAAGCAACAGATGAAGGCGTCTCAAGCCCCCGCAGGAGTTCAATGTCTGTACTTAATAGGTGAAGTGTCAAGCTGAAAGAAGTCTACTGACTGATAGATTGAAAGATAAAAAAAGTTCAGGCACAACACACAAATACATGCATGACTGGACAAATGTATGCTGACAGACGGACAAACGGACACAAGGTCCTTTCTACTGTCACCATCCTGCAGAGCTTGAGGGTGACAAACAAGTGAAGTGTGGTGGGAGAGAGAGCCCGTGTCACGTTTACCTGCGTGAATGCCGGTGTGTCCTTGGGCTTGGGTTCAAAAGGAGGACAAAGCCAGGTGGATGAAAAAAAATCTACCTAACTCCCCATTTGTTAGGAGCGCTGCTCAGTTTTACTTCTGAAAAATATAGGATGACTTAGTGTGGAGAGGTCGTGGCGATTATCAGCTTGTCTAGAGGGGCTTAGATGCCACTAAAGTGAAATTAATACAGGGAACTGATGGGGAGCCTGGCGCCCCCTGCCAAGGTCACCTTTGATAAGGGGGGAAATGTATGTTAAATTTGGCCATTTACAATGTACTTCAATTTCATCTAGCTATGTGAATACATTGCATGCACCTGCATCGGCTTCAAGTCATCAGGGAGCATAATGTACAAAATGTGGGAAGGAGTAGAGCTGTGTGTGCGAGGCTGCGACACTAATGCGATTGAAGGTAGAGGACACACACTGAGGGCAAAAAGTTAGAACATTTGAGTTTCTTTTGCCTAGAATCCTACTTCTACAGCATATGGCCCATTTCCATGGTATTGTAAGCCATTGTGCACATCGATAATACTTCCACCTTGTCTATGTTAGCTTATCCAATGTCTGGTAATATCTGTCATTCCGCTAGGCCTATCAGGGACGTTTTTTTGTGTGACATTAAGAGAAAAAAGGGTTACTGTTCAATTGAACGGACTGTTCAAGTGCGGTAAATAAGAAACACGTTTCAACTCCAACCTTAGATATTTTCGATTACTCGATTTTTAAAGGTCACCAGCAGTGACTGAAACCTACACAAAGCAGCACACTGTGTCCCAAACAGTCAGCAGACTGAGTGAAGGTTATCATGATTTAAGTCAGTCTATCAATAATTTAACCACACCAAAGCAGCTATTAGAGCATTACAGTGCATTTGGAAAGTATTCAGACCCGTTGACTTTTTACTGAAAATGTTACGTTACAGCCTTATTCTAAAATTGATTAAATTATTTTTTCTCAATCTACACACAATATCCCATAATGACAAAGCAAAAACAGGTTTAGGAATGTTTGCAGATTTATTTAAAATAAAAAAACAGAAATACCTTATTTACATAAGTATTCAGACCCTTTGCTATGAGACTCGAAATTGAGCTCAGGTGCATCCTGTTTCCATTGATCATCCTTGAGATGTTTCTACAACTTGATTGGAGTCCACCTGCGGTAAACTCAATTCATTGGACATGATTTGGAAAGGCACACACAGTTCTATATAAAGTCCCACAGTTGACAGTGCATGTCAGAGCAAAAACCAAGCCATGAGGTCAAAGGAATCCTGTCTGTAGAGCTCCGAGGCAGGATTGTGCCGAGGCACAGATCTAGGGAAGGGTACCAAAAAATGTCTGCCACATTGAAGGTCCCCAAGAACACAGTGGCCTCCATCATTCTTAAATGTAAGAAGTTTGGAACCACCAAGACTCTTCCTAGAGCTGGCCGCCCGACAAAACTGAGCAATTAGGGGAGAAGGGCCTTGGTCAGGGAGGTAACCAAGAACCCAATGGTCACTGACAGAGCTCCAGAGTTCCTCTGTGGAGATGGGAGAACCATCTAGAAGGACAACCATCTCTGCATCACTATCAAATCAGGCCTTTATGGTATAGTCGCCAGACAGAAGCCACTCCTCAGTAAAAGGCACATGACAGCTCACTTGGAGTTTGCCAAAAGGCACCTAAAGGACTTTCAGACCATGAGAAACAAGATTCTCTGGTCTGATGAAACCAAGATTTAACTATTTGGCCTGAACACCAAATCAAATTTTATTTGTCACATGCGCCGAATACAACAAGTGTAGACCTTACAGTGAAATACTTACTTACAAGCCCTTAACCAACAATGCACTATTAAGAAAGAATATCTAAAAAAAATGAACAATAACAATAACAAATAATTAAAGAGCAGCAGTAAAATAACAACAGCGAGGCTATATACAGGGGGTATCGGTGCCGAGTCAATGTATGGGGGCACCGGTTAGTCGAGGTAATGGAGGTAATATGTACATGTAGGGAAAGTTATTAAAGTGACTATGCATAGATAATAAACAGAGTAGCAGCAGCGTAAAGGGGGGGGGGGGGGCAATGCAAATAGTTTGGGTAGCCATTTGATTAGATGTTCAGGAGTCTTATGGCTTGGGGGTAGAAGCTGTTTAGAAGCCACTTGGACCTAGACTTGGCACTCCGGTACCGCTTGCTGTGCGGTAGCAGAGAGAACAGTCTATGACTAGGGTGGCTGGAATCTTTGACCATTTCTAGGGCATTCCTCTGACACCGCCTGGTATAGAGGTCCTGGATGGCAGGAAGCTTGGCCCCAGTGATGTACTGGGCCGTACGCACTACCCTCTGTAGTGCCTTGCGGTCGGAAGCCGAGCAGTTGCCATACCAGGCAGTGACGCAACCAGTCAGGATGCTCTCGATGGTGCAGCTGTAGAACCTTTTGAGGATCTGTTGACCCATGCCAAATCTTTTTAGTCTCCTTAGGGGGAATAGGTTTTGTCGTGCCCTCTTCACGACTGTCTTTGTGTGCTTGGACCGCATTAGTTTGTTGGTGATGTGGACACCAAGGAACTTGAAGCCCTCAACCTGCTCCACTACAGCCCCATCGATGACAATGGGGGCATGCTCGGTCCTCTTCTTTTTCCTGTAGTCCACAATCATCTCCTTTGTCTTGATCACGTTGAGGGAGAGGTTGTTGTCCTGGCACCACACGGCCAGGACTCTGACCTCCCTATAGGCTGTCTCGTCGTTGTCGGTGATCAGGCCTACCACTGTTGTGTCATCGGCAAACTTAATGATGGTGTTGGAGTCGTGCCTGGCCATGCAGTCATGAGTGAACAGGAGGGGACTGAGCACACACCCCTGAGGGGCCCCCGTGTTGAAGATCAGCGTGGCGGATGTGTTGTTACCTACCCTTACCACCTGGGGGCGGCCCGTCAGGAAGTCCAGGAACCAGTTGTAGAGGGAGGTGTTTAGTCCCAGGGTCCTTAGCTTAGTGATGAGCTTTGAGGGCACTATGGTGTTGAACGCTGGGCTGTAGTCAATGAATAGCATTCTCACACAGGTGTTCCTTTTATCCAGGTGTGAAAGGAGAGTGTGGAGCGCAATAGAGATTGCATAATCTGTGGATCTGTTGGGGCGGTATGCAAATTCGAGTGGGTCTAGGGTTTCTGGGATAATGGTGTTGATGTGAGCCATGACCAGCCTTTCAAAGCACTTCATGGCTACAGACGTGAGTGCTATGGGTCGGTAGTCATTTAGGCAGGTTACATTAGTGTTCTTGGGCACAGGGACTATAGTGGTCTGCTTGAAACATGTTGGTATTACAGACTCAGACAGGGAGAGGTTGAAAATGTCAGTGAAGACACTTGCCAGTTGGTCAGCGCATGCTCGGAGTACACGTCCTGGTAATCCCTTTGGCCAATCGGCTTTGTGAATGTTGACCCGTTTAAAGGTCTTACTCACATCGGCTACGGAGAGCGTGATCACACAGTCGTCCGGAACAGCTGATGCTCTCATGCATGTTTCAGTGTTACTTGCCTCGAAGCGAGCATAGAAGTAATTTAGCTATTCTGGTAGGCTCGTGTCACTGGGCAGCCCGCGGTTGTGCTTCCCTTTGTAGTCTGTAATAGTTTGCGAGCCCTGCCACATCCGATGAGCATCGGAGCCGGTATAGTACGATTCGATCTTAATCCTGTATTGATGCTTTGCCTGTTTGATGGTTTGTCAGAGGGCATCGCAGGATTTCTTATAAGCGTCCGGTTTAGAGTCCAGCTCCTGGAAAGCGGCAGCTCTACCCTTTAGCTCAGTGCGGATGTTGCCTGTAATCCATTGCTTCTGGTTGGGGTATGTACGTACAGTAACTGTGGGGACGACGTCATCGATGCACTTGATGAAGCCAGTGACTGATGTGGTGTACTCCTCAATGTCATCGGAAGAATCCCGGAACATATTCCAGTCTGTGATAGCAAAACAGTCCTGTAGCTTAGCATCTGCTTCATCTGACCAATTTTTTATTGACTGAGTCACTGGTGTTTCCTGCTACCAAGTGTCACGTCTGGAGGAGGAAACCTGGCACCATCCCTACGGTGAAGCATGGTGGTGGCAGCATCATGCTGTGGGGATATTTTTCAGCGGCAGGGACTGGGAGACTAGTCAGGATTGAGGGAAAGATGACGGAGCAATGTACAAAGAGATCCTTGATGAAAACCTGGTCCAGAGCGCTCAGGACCTCAGTCTGGGGCGAAGGTTCACCTTCCAACAGGACAACGACCCTAAGCACACAGCCAAGACAACGCAGGAGTGGTTTCGGGACAAGTGTCTGAATGTCCTTGAGTGGCCCAGCCAGAGCCCGGACTTGAACCCGATCTAACTTCTCTGGAGAGACCTGAAAATAGCTGTGCAGCGACGCTCCCCATCCAACCGGACAGAGCTTGAGGGGATCTGCAGAGAAGAATGGGAGAAGCTCCCCAAATACAGGTATTGCCAAGCTTGTAGGGTCATACCCAAGAAAAAACTAGTTTTTGCTTTGTCATTATGGGGTATTGTGTGTAGATTGATGAGGGGGGAAAAACAATTTAATCAATTTTAGAATAAGGATGTAACATAACAAAATGTGGAAAAAGTCAAGGGGTCTGAATACTTTCCGAATGCACTGTAGATATTAGAACATTAAGGACTGCAAATCTCTTCAAATAGAACATGTCCCACCCTTCACATCAATGGGGCATGAGTATACGATCGGAAAACACACTGAAAAAGAACATCCAACTGGTACTTACGAGTGTTAAAGCATCAATGGCTGGTTTCCGGGACAAAGATTTAGTCTAGTCCTGGACTAAAAAGCAATTTTGATAGAGATTCTCCATTGAGCATGTTTTTTGTCCAGGACTAGGCTTAATCTGTGTCTGGGAAACCGCCCCTAAATGTAGTGTTAAAACATCAACTAAAGGATCAAAAAAAGATAAAGTTCTGACGGGAAGAGGCAGGCTTACCCATAGGTAGTAAGTGAACTGCAGGGCGAAGATGGCGATGCCCTCGTTGTCAAAGGAGCCAGCCACCGAGCGGGAGATGTACCCGGGCACAATAGCGATAAAACAGGCAGCCAGAAGCCCCGCCCCCTGGTTCCACAGCTCCCGCGTCAGCAGGAAGGTGGAGATGGAAGTCAGGCCGCTGAAGACGGGAGCCAGGAAGACGCAGACGTCCCTGATATGCACTGTCAAGTGCAGCAGGTTCAGCACGTAGTGGATAAGACCTGCGGTGACCATCAAACCTGGATATACCTGGAGAGAGAAAGAGACAAAACAGAGGGAATGGAATGGGAACATTTATGGCACCTTCATGCAAATGGATGGGATACCTGTCTTATCCTGGATATAAAATGCTAAATGCCTTTTAATGAACCTTAATGTACTGTAACATCCATTGAGCAGTTAGTTGGAACTCCACAGGTCAGGCAGGAGAGTGATACATCAAGTAAGTGTTGGCTTGCTGTGTCCACTTGCTTGACATACCACAAGAGTGAGTCAAGTTAATTGAATCTGCTCTGGATTTACATTTAAGGAAACACAGGTAAGGTGATTTTCTCCACCGAAATACTGACTAATTGCCCAATTCAAGGCTGAGGCCTCAAACAACCAAACCTTAAGGCTCTGTCTATAATGCACGACACCAGTCCTAATTAGGCTTGTGTGAAATGTTTCTGAATTCAGGTGGGGGGCTATGTTTCAGTGTGAGTGATGCCCTGAGGTATGCAATGCCAGGCATAGACAAGTCCAGGGCACTTTGGCTAGTCTCTGCCTGCTGTGCTTCCCTATCAACCAGGGTCTTATTGCACCTCTCTCCCAAATCATCCAACCCAGTCGCCCTGTCCTGAGGATTGAGCTAGAGCCTAGCAACTGCTGAAATAATCACTGTTTAGTTGCCCCCAGAACAACAGATTCTCGGCTCTCTGTAGTCTGCATTTCCCCCATATTGCTTAGAATTTTGGCCGGTCAGCTTAAAAATGTGCCTGGTCCTTTTCTTTACAGTAACAAAGGGCAGTTTATTGGCTTGACAGAGCCCTATTGTTAAAGAGTGTCACATTTATTCAGCCCTCAAATCTTATCTATGGCTCTGGAGAGGGAGCGGCTGGCGGATGTCCCCCTTAAGAGTTGGAGAGAAAAGACCAGGGATCTGACACTGTCACATTAACTGATATCTGCTAGTCCGTCTACAAGCAGTGTGACCCATCTTGTGTTATCATACACAATTAATGAGGACTGTCAGACTCATCTGCAGCAGTTTGAATTAAGAGAGGGGAGAGAAGGAGCGCAGATGGCAGGGTGGGGAAAAGAGGGAGGGATGCAGAGGTGGTGGTGGGGTGCGGCACACTGCTTAGGTCCCTGTTTGGAGACGGGAGAGGTGCTAAAATGTATGCAGACTAGCAAGAAAGGGTTTTGGGGAATACCACTCTGAAGAAAAAGCAGTGTGACACACCGTTCAGGTGTTAAAGGAGTTCTGGAATGCCTGAGAAAGTCAGGCAACCCTTGGGTATACTTCACAATCCGCATGGGATGGATTACATTTGATACAGTCAAGCTGCACTTCAACAGGTACTACATGATCCAATCATTAGTACTGTAACGCAGTCATTCCTTTAGGGATTTGTCATGCATAGGGCTGTGGCGGTCATGACATTTTGTCAGCCGGTTGTCATGCAAATGACTACCGGTCTCAAGGTAATTGACCGTTAATTAACATAAACACGTTTAGCATCTCCAGGCCTCCACGCATACAAGCCGCTGATGCGGGCCTTTGCAACATCTATATTTAAGAAAGTCTAATAAATTCATTTAATATGTACCATCACAATAAATCCATTATTTTAGGCAGGTCCAATGAAACATGATATGAAGAAAATGTATTTAAAGAAGAACAGTACATGAGTCGGCCTACTATATGTTATCTCGCTATGCGGCATGCCATAGGTTATAGGGTAGTTAATTTAGCAGACAACATACACTGAGTGTACAAAACATTAGGACCACCTTCCTAATATTAAGTTGCACACCTTTTGCCCTCAGAACAGCCTCAATTTGTCGGGCATGGATTCTACAAGGTGTCGAAAGCGTTCCAAAGGGATGCTGACCCATGTTGACTCCAATGCTTCCCACAGTTGTGTCAAATTGGCTGGATGTCCTTTGGGTGGTGGACCATTCTTGATACATACGGGAAACTGTTGAGCGTGAAAAACCCAGCAGCGTTCCAGTTCTTGACACACTCAAACCAGTGTGCCTGGCACCCACTACCATACCCCGTTCAAAGGCACTTGAATCTTTTGTCTTGTCCATTCACCCTCTGAATGGCACACACACACAATCCATGTCTCAAGGCTTAAAAATCCTTGAATCTGTATGCTCCCGTTCAGCTACACTGACTGAAGTGGATTTAACAGGTGACCTCAATAAGGGATAATAGCTTTCACATGGATTCACCTGGTCAGTCTGTCATGGAAATGTTTGGTACACTCAGTGTATGCTCATAAGTTCCCGTGCCATTATTTTATATGATATGATTTTATAGGAAGACAAATATAATTGAACTTAGCTGAATATAATGGAACAGATATTTTTCCCATTCCGAAGAGAGTGTGCATATGAAGTGGCTATAAAGTGATCATTTGAAACAGGTCCTATACGCTAGATTTGGCATAGTTGTGAATGATACAAACCTTAGAATGTCTTAGAAATCAAAACATATGGGCTGCATGATGCCACTATAGGCTGGCTATTGATGATTTGAAAAAGTCACAAACAAAGCTTGAGCTCTGTTCCTTGCCTCAGACTCCACACGTTGTTCTCATCAAGTGATCATGTTTTCACCCATCAGACTATTTTCAATTTAATCTATTCTTTACTAATATGTAAAATGAGTATAGATTTAAAAATGTCCCATTGTCAAATGTGCAGGAACAGGGGCAAAAACACGTTATCAGTATGCGCTTTCCCAAGGTTCGTTTTTCAATTATGCCGGGTAGGCCGTTTTATAGCGGAGCACGTGCTTAATGTTAGCAGCTGAGAAATAAATATAGTAGCAACTGGGATCATCCTCTTTTTAGCGGCAACCATAAAAACTCTGCTTTCACTCAGGATTGCATATAGAAATGTCTGGACTTATAAGAACACATTTCACTCCACGCGTCAACCACTGAGGAGCATTCAGAAATGCACGGTGGTGAGATTCTGCAGCTAAAAGGTAATGTGTCAGCCTATTAATTATGAATATATATTTTTTAATCCCTATTACTAGGCTAGTCAAAATCAAATTCACTATATAGGCTAACACAATAAGCCACCCTGCACAATTAATGAACCAACAGCATCGCCTCTGCCTATACGTTCTCTCCCAGACTCAAGGATTGACAGTTCGGAGCATAGCATAAGGTAACCAGTCCAGCCATAATGCATAATAATACAGTCCACACTCAAAGGCGATTACGATTTAACTTAAATCGATATTTTTTCTTTTAATGTTTTTCTGCCATGTGTAATATGCAGTAGGCTATTACGCTATGTATTGTATAACGACACAATCACTATTTTGATTCTGGTGTTTTTATTCGGGCTTGGGCTCATATATAGGCCTATGCATTAGCTCTAATATGCATATGGATGTTTTATTTTTTATGTATTTCTTGTACTTTTTACCCTTTTTTCTCCCCAATTGGTAGTTACAGTCTTGTCCCGTCGCTGCAACTCCTGTGCTGACTCGGAGAGGCGAAGGTCGAGAGCCATGCGTCCTCCGAAACACAACCCCGCCAAGCCGCACTGCTTCTTGACACACTGCTCGCTTAACCCGGAAGCCAACAACACCAATGTGTCGGAGGAAGCACCGTACAGCTGGTGACCGAAGTCAGCGTGCATGCGCCCGGCCGCCACAAGGAGTCGCTAGAGCGCAATGGGACAAGGACATCCCAGCCGGCCAAACCCTCCCCTAACCCAGATGACGCTGAGCCAATTGTGTGCCGCCTCAAATTGATCTATCACAGTGAGGGGAGTTTTAAAAGCGTGACACTGTTTAGATAAGTGTTGCATTTGCATTGATGTCAGAGTGGTTAGAGGAATAATAGAGCGCTGAGTACCAGGCCATTAGCGACTTGACGGTCGTTAGCGAGTTGGGTACTACCAATGCATGTCCAGAGTGCCTAAGAGGAGACTCATCGGTCACGTGGAATTATAATACGGCCACCGCAACAGCCCTAGTCATGCATTGTGTAGGACTACAGTGGCTTGCGAAAGTATTCACCCCCTTGACATTTTTCCTATTTTGTTGCCTTACAACCTGGAATTAAAATTGATTTTGGGGGGATTTGTATCATTTGATTTATACAACATGCCTACCACTTTGAAGATGCAAAATACTTTTTATTGTGAAACAAACAAGAAATAAGACAAAAAAACTGAAAACTTGAGCGTGCATAACTATTCACCCCCCCCCCCCCCCCCCCCCAAAGTAAATACTTTGTAGAGCCACCTTTTGCAGCAATTACAGCTGCAAGTCTCTTGGGGTATGTCTTGGCACATCTAACCACTGGGATTTTTGCCCATTCTTCAAGGCAAAACTGCTCCAGCTCCTTCAAGTTGGATGGGTTCCGCTGATGTACAGCAATCTTTAAGTCATACCACAGATTCTCAACTGGATTGAGGTCTGGGCTTTGACTAGGCCATTCCAAGACATTTTAATGTTTTCCCCTTAAACCACTCAAGTGTTGCTTTAGCAGTATGCTTTGGGTCATTGTCCTGCTGTAAGGTGAACCTCCGTCCCAGTCTCAAATCGCTGGAAGACTGAAACAGGTTTCCCCTCAAGAATTTCCCTGTATTTAGCGCCATCCATCATTCCTTCAATTCTGACCAGTTTCCCAGTCCCTGCCGATGAAAAACATCCCCACAGCATGATGCTGCCACCACCATGCTTCACTGTGGGGATGGTGTTCTCGGGGTGATGAGAGGTGTTCGGTTTGCGCCAGACATAGCGTTTTCCTTGATGGCCAAAAAGCTCAATTTTAGTCTAATCTGACCAGAATACCTTCTTCCATATGTTTGGGGAGTCTCCCACATGCCTTTTGGCGAACACCAAATGTGTTTGCTTATTTATTTATTTTTATTGCTTTTTTCTGGCCACTCTTCCGTAAAGCCCAGCTTTAGTACGGCTTAAAGTGGTCCTATGGACAGATACTCCAATCTCCGCTGTGGAGCTTTGCAGCTTCTTCAGGGTTATCTTTGGTCTCTTTGTTGCCTCTCTGATTAATGGACTCCTTGCCTTGTCCATGAGTTTTGGTGGGCAGCCCTCTCTTGGCAGGTTTGTTGTGGTGCCATATTCTTTCAATTTTTTTATAATGGATTTAATGGTGCTCCGTGGGATGTTCAAAGTTTCAGATATTTTTTATAACCCAACCCTGATCTGTACTTCTCCACAACTTTGTCCCTGACCTGTTTGGAGAGCTCCTTGGTCTTCATGGTGCCGCTTGCTTGGTGGTGCCCCTTGCTTAGTGGTGTTGCAGACTCTGGGGCCTTTCAGAACAGGTGTGTATATATACACACTGAGATCATGTGACAGATCATGTGACACTTAGATTGCACACAGGTGGACTTATTTAACGAATTATGTGACTTTTGAAGGTAATTGGTTGCACCAGATCTTATTTAGGGGCTTCATAGCAAAGGGGGTGAATACATATGCACGCACCACTTTCACGTTATTTTTTTATATTTTTTTTTTTAACAAGTTATTTTTTTCATTTCACTTCACCTATTTGGACTATTTTGTGTATGTCCATTACATGAAATCCAAATAAAAATCCATTTAAATTACAGGTTGTAATGCAACAAAATAGGAAAAACGCCAAGGGGGATGAATACTTTTGCAAGGCACTGTACATTCCCTATACTCTGTTGACTGCCAGAGACAAAGAGTATGAGTTAATTTGCTTTTACAACTAGTGTGATTTCTGAAAAGGACTTCATAGAAGCACTGTTTTCTGAACAGGTGATTTGTAACATTCCATTAGCGATACAGGTTTGTGCACCATTAAGGCTGCCTGAAAAAATTCAAAGGCCCTTCATACCACGTAGCCTGCGTGTAAGTACTATCAGGACAGCTGAGGGAAGCACTTCTCATCTTCATAGTGTAATCATGTTGTGGGGGAGAGGGAAAACAGAGCTGACATGCAGCAAAAAGTTATCTCCCAGAGGTATTGAACCTGGATCTACCATCAGTTTGCATTTATTTGCATTCTGTGTACCCAGCGTCAGACCCACCTGCGGTCTAAACCCTGCTGCACTCTCACCGGTAACCTGGCACGCTGAGCATCAGTATGGTCCACTGCCTACACATATAGACTTGTTATCCGCAGGTGAGGATGTTCGGATCCCTTGTGCAGAATGACTGAATCCATTGCTGCTAAACAGCAACACCTGCCATTGCTACTAGTCTATATTCTATAGCGGCAATATCTGCTGCTGCTAAAACGACTGACAATGGTACTGAGTACTGACATGTCTGGCTGTCTTAACTGCTCGGTGCTTGTCTCCCACCACCCTGAAGTAAATACATTGTACACAGCAGGGAGCAAAGAGAAACTTCAGCTGCCAACCTAGGTGGAGCAAGTGATGGAGGTAACAGAGGGAGCAATTTCGAAGGTTTGCACTACCAAGGCTGGCGAAAATCGTCACCCCATCAGCTACTGTGATTACAGTACAGAGAGACATGCCGGGAGCTGTGAGGAAGAGCAGGGTCGTATTTTATTCACAGCGCTTCAGTGCACAGTTTTTACAGGGCGGCCTAAAAATATGAGGCTCCGCCGAGTTAGGAGAAGCATGGGAGATAAATCCTGCAGAATCAGCAGGTAGTAACTCACAGTGAAAAAGGTTGTGATTTCCAAACATCTGTTCTTGTTGGTAAACAGTCATGGGGACCGTGGCAGTCATGGGGAATCCGCCAAGTTAACAGCTCACTGGTTGCTGCCGGAGCGTGACTAAGACCGAAGAGCACTGGGGGAGGCTTATGAAACGGTACGGTCCATGGTGCTTCCTCAGCTAACCCCCCACCCACTACAACCACACAGGGAGTATAGGCCTATATTTATTTATATGTAATATGTCTTCATCCAACAGGCTCGTTTTTAATTGGGATGATTTAAGATTGATCACAGCAGAGTATGTGTTAAACTTACTGTGCCCCCCACGATCCTTCCCAAGGGGTACCACGACCTCTCGTCGAACCAGTTGAGGAACTCGTAAAACCCATTTGTGGTCAGGTGATGTGTCGACCTGTAGTTGAACCTGTGGGGAGATGGAGAACATGGCTTTGTTGGTACAAGACAAAAATAAGTGGCACACAAAGCAGGTAGCTAATACAAATATCTCATTAAGATATTGTTGAATGTGCAAACAAATATTATTTGCAAAGAATAGCCTTATTATTTCCAGATTCTACAAAAGGCAGCCAGTGTGGCTGCACATGCTTTGTATAATTTGTGAGAGTAGGCTTCCCTTCAGCATGCAAGCTTTTGTATTGATGCCAATAACTCTCCAATCAACTGCAAGTTCAAACACATTCATAATTCTGCACTCTCACAAAGCCTCACTTCTAACAATATCCCAGCCAGCACAGGTTTAAGTGACAAAAGAAAAAAGAGGCCTTCAATAAATAATAAAATAGCAAAATTAATGCAACCGAAGATATTTAATGGTTTGGACTGCTATCAAGCCGCAAACACTAAAAAAAGCTGACACTAGGAAGACAACTGCCAGAGAAAAAGCAACCATTAAGCACATTTCATGGGCACCTTATCTCCTTGCCTCATTAATCCATGTGGGTTTATGGTTCCTCTATGGAATGCCCATATAAGCGTAGGCCTGCCTGTTAAGACATCCTTGATTAGAGCTAGTGCAAGTTTGAAGGACAATTCCCAACTTTATCTGACAATACGGAGACATCCCAAACTTCCAACCCGAACAAAGTTGGCATGGTTTGCGTGACATCTCTGCTCTGAAACATTATGCTTTCATTTCATTTTCTGTAAAGATTGTGGAATGTCTGCTCGAAGCCACTCTGTAAACGTTGTGCATACAAATTCACATGTGGTTGCTTGCTTTGCTTAGATTCCATGCTAGGCTATGAGTTAAGCTAATATTTCAAATCTTCATATGGCTCAGCGCGAGGCAGTGGTTTTAGATTAAGTGAAAAACAAAGATACAGTTTATATGTAGGGGACAGTTGATGTAACCAGAGTAATATCATACACTTCATGAGTCATTGTTGTGCAATCAATGTGATGCACCTGTGGCTCTGAAATAAGGACATCCATCCTTGTGACAGATCACGCTTGTCTGCAGAAACAGCGCCGACACCGGAATGTCGGCAACCCCTAAGCACAATAGCAGCATCCTACCCTAATACTTTGGCTCCATAGCAGATGATTCAGGAGGAAAGAGATTCGAGCCAGCCGGCACACTGTCACTGCTGGGAGACAAGCAGCTCACACACACACATCCCAAAATGGGTGGCATGCGGAGAAGCTCATTAAATCACTGCATGGTGCTTTTCCTTCTACACAACTCACCTGAAGGACTCTTATCTGCAGGTGGGGAAAGGAGATGGCCAAAATCCTTTGATAAAGCGCTTGGGGGACAAATTCTAGGTCAATGACGGTCTTTTCTAGGCTTACGTTGTTTTTTATCAGTTCATACACAGGAGATTTTCAACGTTTTGGCACTTCTGAAATGATTTCTGGTATCGAGGAAATAGGCTTTGAACAGTGACAAAACCCAGTGAGGAAGAAAGAAGAAAAGGATGTAAACAAACACTTGGACTATTCATACTTATAGGGGCTGGTGCTATACTTACTGTCACAGTTCACTTCCAAGTAGAATATGACACATGCTCTTGCTACGGCTCATTCATTATTCACTGACTGACATGTCTAGTGAGGAGACCAAGCTACTGTTGAGCACAGACAATGCACACACATCTTATATTGCAGTGCACGTGATGAGCATTGACAAGCTGGCTCTTCCACAGAGAGGGAACTAGGACTGTTTATCCCTGTGGCTTCTCAAGCAGTCAGATCACATTATTTTATAACCTGAGACCCGACACTTTCACAAGTTTGAGCATGAGCCAGCAAAACCAGTGTTTCTTTCTTTAACTCTGGAGCACAGAGAGACCAGAAAGGGTAAAATGCAGCCAGGTATAAGAACTGCCCAGCAGAGAGTACTTACCGCCGCAACCTAACCACTCATACCCTACACAGGAAATCTATTGTTCGTCAACTGTCAAAGCACAGAGGCGGAAATAAAGAGAACCACGGAAAGCACTTTAAAAAGACTTCACCCGCTGCCACACCATATTCACAAAAAAACATTTTCCAATGATCTCATGGACAGCAGAGCAGAGTGTTTTATCCCTGCACTTGTCACTTTGATGGGGCAGATAATGTGGCCTGCCAAGCACATTAGCAATTTAATGCATAATTGCCTAGTCGGTCTCGGCTGACAGAACATCACTGCGCCATCAACTAGAGAGCAGGTGAGCTTCAAGCGACAAAACCCTACCGTTTAAATCACGTCTGGCCTCGGAAACATGGAAATGTACAAATGTGGCTTACGTGTTAACTCCCGATCAAATTTCACTGCGAAATGCAAATTATTCACAGCATCTTATGCATTTGAGATTGGTTGAGGATGCCCTCAGGCATCACAACTCATTTTGATCATGCCCGTTACAGATATGAGTTCCCCATTGTTACAAAGCCCTCATTCAGTGCATTAAATAAGGGATTCCTTTGTGGTTTATGAGCCGGTAATGCCTCGCACCTTGGTAACCACAATCAAATGCATCATTGGTTTTCCTGCCCTGGTCCTGCTGTTTGGTAAATGTCCAAATTGACTTTTGTTCCAGGAGTGCACTTGCCACCTTGACTAAGCCTATTTGCCCGCTCTCTTCACACTATGAATAGATTACCTGTAGTACCATTGTGGTACCAAATATTAAGGTGGGGCTGCCTGAAACACAACAGGTCAATTTTTAACACAGGCCCTTGGTGATGTTGTACAATTTGCACACGAAAGCCCACATTTATACCACACAGACACACAAGTCACAAACAAATCAAGAACGCACATGTTGGGAGCAGACCTATCTGCAGAGTTGTGACCTTTTCAAAAAGTTAGTCACAAATAGCCTACATCTGGTTCTGCCTTTGACTTCTGTAAAAGCAAGTTTAAAAAATGCTTTTACTTCTCCAACTTATTCAGTCAAAGTCGATGTTCTGAGCTTGGCTGAGCTCATGGAACAGTTTAACAAAATAGACCTGCTGTGTCTGTGATTACTAGAGCAAACCGTACACCTGGGGTTCACGGATGGCCAATCTTCTTGATTGTCCTCAGGTTATCCTGCATGGATTTGTTTATTCACAACTGCCTGACTTTACACACCTATAACATGTATTCTATTGCTATTTCAGATAAAAATCGGAAAAAGTATTGTATTGGGCCAGAAACGCAAATAAATGCCAAATGAAGTCTATGGGGACCAACTAGCAAAAAATCCATACTTGAGTCCTGACTCCTGCATAAGAGTGAAATGCCTTCAAAAGCAGGTATGATAGAGAACAAATGCCAACTCTAGAAGAGGTTAGGAGTAATATTCTGAGTTGCCACCTAAAGGAAACATTTGAAAAACAGGATTACAACTACATACACCACATTTACATTTACATCATTTAGCAGACGCTCTTATCCAGAGCGATTTACAAATTGGTGCATTCACCCTATAGCCAGTGGGTTAACCACTTGACAATAAGTCTTTTTTTTTTTTTTTTTGGGGGGGGGGTGGGTAGAAGGATTACTTTATCCTATCCCAGGTATTCCTTAAAGAGGTGGGGTTTCAAATGTCTCCGGAAGGTGGTGAGTGACTCCGCTGTCCTGGCGTCGTGAGGGAGCTTGTTCCACCATTGGGGTGCCAGAGCAGCGAACAGTTTTGACTGGGCTGAGCGGGAACTATGCTTCCGCAGAGGAAGGGGAGCCAGCAGGCCAGAGGTGGATGAACGCAATGCCCTCGTTTGGGTGTAGGGACTGATCAGAGCCTGAAGGTACGGAGGTGCCGTTCCCCTCACTGCTCCATAGGCAAGCACCATGGTCTTGTAACGGATGCGAGCTTCAACTGGAAGCCAGTGGAGTGTGCGGAGGAGGGGGGTGACGTGAGAGAACTTGGGAAGGTTGAACACCAGAACCAGCTGCTTATGGGATGTTCCAGTTGGATTACTTGGAGTTGAAGCATTACAGCAGGCTTTAGGAGACCCATGGGAGATTAAGGACCGTCAGCCAAGGTTCTACCAGTGGACCCAGTCTTGGCTACTTTCCATACGACTCAATGGCACTTGGGGGGAGGCCCCACCCACTAGGCACACTCAGCCTGTTCCCCTTCTGACCGCATGCTCATTTATGACCGACCGCCTTGATTTGGTCTTATGTAGCAAAAAATGTTATGGTATTTTATTTTTATTTTTTTACATTGGATTACAGTAGAGACTCAGAGATAGAACATTGTATATCATACACTGCAGTTGAGGAACAATGGGAAAGTAATTCTGCTTTGAAAGTTGATAAACTTGTAACCCCACTGGCCCTTGAACGTTTTGGTACACCTACTGGAGAGATCTTTGTCTACACCCATTCAGCATCGTTCACACCCTCTTAAACCTTAGTCCCACCAATCTCTTTAAATGATTCACATGTGGTAAACACATGCTATATCAAATAAAATCGAAGTTTATTTGTCACATGCACAGGATACAGAAGGTGTAAACGGTACAGTGATAGTACTTACATAGTAGCAATATCAAAAACATAAAGTGTCCAGATATAAATATTTTATAGTTATTAGATGACGCTTACCCGACACACTTGATGGGTCATGTGAAGGAAATGCTATAACCACCCCTCACCCACATCTAGCTAAGTGGATGGGTCACTATTGTTTAGACATGTACACATGTTCATGAAATACAATCGATGGCCGTAATCACCCCCAGACACACATGCTAATTTGATGGGTCATGTAATAACCTGGCCGAAGTGGGGTCTTTTGTTTAGACATGTAGCTAGCTAGGTAGCTAGCTAAACAATGAACCGGCATAACCCCAACTCATACTACTACCAATACAAACATTGTCATAGCTGTAGTGTGAATCTGCAGGTAGCTAAAGCTAACAAACTAGGTTCAACGTTAACTAGCTAACATTAGGCTATAACTAGCAAAGCAAACATTAGAGACAGA